ATTTAACATATGAATATAATTATTATTAATATTCTTGTGTAAAATAAATGATTACTGAATTGCTTGTAAATCATACGAACTATAAAAATTATTTATAAAATAACAGTCAATGTGATCTTTGTCATTGCATTTCACTGGCCATCGCTTCATAACTGGGAGAACATGATGAAATTCCTACTTACAAGCAATCGTCAAGGTGTTCATCTGTAAATCGGGATCTATATTTTGAATTCATTGTCGAAAACAATGATTGCCACAAGTATGTGAAACCACAAACCTACTTTATTTTAAATAGAAAATTATTTCTGTCAACTATATTCCAGAATTTCTCATCTGATATAATCGTTTTGAGGATAATGTCATTCTGAAGATCCAAAATTTCTATCTCCACTTCTCGCCTAACTTGAAGACATTCTGAAATGCATGTTGCTATTTCGGTTAAAGTATATTTGATGGTAAAAGGATTTACAGAAAAGGTGACCATAGGCTCGATGATATTAAATTGTTAAAAACGATTTTCTAATTGATCTTGAAGCAATTGGAGGTTGATGACAAATGTTAATAAGACAATTTCACTGTCCCCTATCATTTTTTTCATGTTTGGAAAATGCAAAAGAGACTTTATTTTCAATTATATTATTTAGTTTTTTTCAATTATGTCTGTTACGAAAGACAAATCTCCTAGCCAGAGAGGATCTGTTAGCTAGTTCCAAAAATATTTGATTTTTGGCTGCAAGATAATTTTTTATTTCTTCGATTAAATGAATAACTCTATCAAGTACTTTGTCTTTACTGAGCCAGCGTACTTCAGTATGTAAAATGAAGTCAGCATCATCAGGATTTTGTAACAGTGCCGTGAAAAGTCGAAGTTGCAAAGGAGCTGCTAGAATTAAGTTAACTATTTCGGTAATAATTTTCATTACGTGTAACAATTGTAGTAATTTACCGCATTAATTTGGTGCCCGCGGGCATAGGGTTGGGGATCCCCGAGTTAATGGATGCACACACACCCGGTCTATGCGTGTCATGTGCATGGCGTACTAATTTTTGATAGTCTCTAATGTATGCATGCCTAAGGAGGTTGTCACAACCTTCCATAATTTTAAGATTAAATTGGTAGGGCATTTCCACCTACAGCTCTTCTACTAAGCAGCATTAAGTTCTATGGGACTCACTCTATATTAGAAACGGCGAAATGAAAAATGGGAACCTAATGACGGGCGCAGCTTGAAATGGTATCTCGTTCTTCCCAAATCAAGGATTTTGGATGTCTCTAAAGAGCTGCATGGTAACTTCACCAGAGGTCTCTTTGGAGTAATGAAAACTATACAGAAATATCGTGAGCGCTTCTACTGGAACAAGTCAAGAAACGACGTATAGAAGCGGTGACGATCTTGTGATAGCTGTGTGGTTCGAAAAGAATCAAAGAAACGTAGAAGTGACAGATTGCATCACTATTATGTAGGAGCACCATTTGAGCATTTCGCACTTGACATCTTCAGTCCTCTACCTCGATCTTCAAATAGCAACAATCTTAGTTGTCATGGATTATTTTGCAAAGTGACCCGAAGCGTCTCCTATACCTGAACAAGAAGCAACTGCAGTAGCGAAGGTCTTGGTATAGCCATGGATATTCAGATTTGGCACATCTTTTTCAAATTCATTCAGACCAAGGAACGAATCTTACCTCGACTGTTTTTAAAGAACTATGCAAAATTTTTAAAATAGACACGACTCAGAAAACGTTCTGACATTCTCAATTGGACGGCATGGTTGAGAAGTTCAACCAAAACATTCTGAGTAACCTCACACTTCTTGTGTCAAGGAATCAACAAGATTGAACTTAAAACTACCGTTGTTCCTGCTTGTATAGCGCAAAGCTGCCCAGTAATTTACTGGATATACATTATATCAGTAACTGCTTGGACAAAAACTTCGTCTCCCTAAAGATCTTTATTCTATTGCGCCTGATGTACCTTCGTCGTCAAAAGAGTACCGTAGAGAATTCCAGGTACGTTTGGAAAACGTTTACAACTTTCCTCGTGAACGGATCAACATGATGGCAGAGAGAATGAAGATGATGTGTGACATCTAAGTGACGGATCACATGTTCCAGGAATGTAACAAAGACTGGCTGTGGAACCTGATTCGACAAAAATGGCTTTCTTTTAAGTTACAACCTAATTGGGATGGTCCGTTTGTCGTCAAAAGACTGGATTACGTCGTGGTTTAAATCAGGAAGTCATCATCTTCAAAACCAAAGGTCATGAAAGGATAAACCAAACCATCATGTATAATTGGCTAGATCCTTATCATGGTATAAAATAAATTTCTATACCATGGTTTTTTCTATTGTGTATAATGTAAAATTATTTCATATTTCTTATGAGTTTATAATTTTTATCTGAGTAATATCATGTGCTACGTAATGTTTTTAATCAACATTTATGTAATGTTAAATTTTATAATGTAGTTCATTACTCCATTACCATTTGTCTCCTATTCGGGGATCGTACTGCTAGGATATGCAGTCCTTGATAGGAGGGCAATGTTAAAATTTTTTAAATATTTGCATAATTTTGTGAATATTCTTCGTTTATGAGACTAAATATCTCACCGAACTCGAAATACTCAGATTAATAAGACAGTTTGCTAAAAAAAAAAAAAAATCACATGTAATTCTAACGTAATATACTGAGAAAAAGGATAACTTTTTTGGAAGTTTCTGCTAACAAAATTTGACGTTTTAAGGACTGTTTTATTCGTCTCCAATCAAACAAACCCCAGTGCTCGGTACACTATCTTTTGAGAAAAAATAAATAAATCCATTTTTAGCTTAAAAATTCGTGTTTCCAGTACCTGCCAAAATGAATAGATCTAAATTCCAGCGCTTAAATTTGTATTGCAAATTATAAACTGCAACGCACCGCTTTAATGTAGAAAATTATTGTAAAAATTGCAAAATTCAAGAATATTGCGGAGAATGAAAATATTATTGAAAAATTCTTAAAAAAAACTCTCATTATTTTATTCAATCCATAACTTTCGAGAGGGAATTTGTATTGATCCAAATAATTTTGAAAATTTGATAAATTTACAAAATTTCAATATTTTTTGAAAATATTCAAGGCTTTTGCATAAAATGAAGATTGTATATTAGTAATCCGAAAAAACCCACGAGTTCTATATTAGACCTTATACAACTTTTGGTGTATATGGTCTAATATAGAACTCGGTAGTAGTGTTTTTAATTATTGAAAACTTCTATTCTCTCCACCTTATTGACTACATGGAAATCCTGTTTTTCACCAAAAGCAATCTCTCTCAATCATTTTAAAAAGAGGCTTTTCATTACACTGCCTTAAGAAGTTCAATTTTTAAAGATATGATACCTTTTGAGTTTGCCTTACTTGAGTTAATTTTTTTTTAAAAATTAAGATTCCAGACAAAAAAAAATAAATAAATAAATAAACGCTAAAATCACAAAATAGCAGATCTGAAAAAAAAAAGGCTGCAAGAAATAGATACACATTTCAGGACACCACATTTTCGAACACTGACTCACTCTTTTTAGTTAGCTTTGCATAAAATTCATATTTGAATTTATAGTTTTGTCTTAGTTTAAGTTTGGGCTAGTTTAATTTTACATTAGGTTATAGTTTCGTTTAAGGTATTGCAGCTGAGCTTTCGACCGGTGGTCAGTAAAACCATACAGAAAAAAGAAATCACATGGTTATTTGAAAATGAACGTAATTTTACCCTATTGCTATAAGTGGCGGCAATAATTAAGCAATCCTTAACAACAATTAATCCATTTTCACCAAGCATTGCCTCTTGACAACAGATTTCTTGTAAATAGAACAGACATCTCAATGCTCGCCCTCCCCCGTTACCATGGTTTGGCAAATCCAACTTTTTGTGCAGTACGTTTCAATAAGAAGCTGGAATATACAAATATACTTGTGTAGGGAAAAAACAAGATTTGCCGAGACCCTGGTAACGGAGAAGTGAAATAGTGTAGAGAGTGGGAAAATTGCGATTCAATTAAATGTTTTTCAATTTAAATGTTTATTATTTGAATTTAAAACATAAATGTGATATTTAAATTGCTATTTTCTTTCATGTTGTATTTAATAATTTAAACCTATTTACTACTGACAAAAAATTAGAAGAAAAAATTTAACTTATAAAATTTTTCAATTTGAATTTCCATTTTGACTTTTTGATTTGAATTTTTATATTTTATTTCAAATTATTTTATAACATGGTTATTACTATTATTATTTATAACATAATTATTATATAATTTTCTTTTCTTTCAGGTTGTGTTTGATAATTTAAATATGTTTAACACAAGGGGGAGATTAAAAGAACAAATAAATGAAAAAGAAATAGAAAAATAATGCTTCTTTAGATTGAATTTCCATTTTGGTAGAAAAACTCACATCTGTAATTGTAATTTTATTTTGAATTTTTTTATCATAAGTAAATTAGATAAGCAAAATAAGCGATCATAACAGAATAGGTTAAATAGTTTTTAAGTGATAAAATTTAAAAAAGGATGTATATTTAAAATTTGATTTCTCAAAAATTATTCGACTGATTTTATTTAAATGTTCTATTTTGCCATTTAAAATTACAATCTTTAAAATGATTCAAAAAGTTGTATACCTGACAATTCCCATTTTTTTCCAATTAAATAAAATAATATTATTAAATAAAATAATGAAAAAATATTAATTATTAAAAAAGCTTTTTCTGCATGAATTATGTTTGAATAAACAAATTTTACAATTGGGTACAAATTGCTTAAAAAAAGTTATCAAAATATAGTGAAGTATGCAAAAAATAAAATTACCATCAAGGGGCTTTAAAACTATTAATATACCATTTCATAAAATAACCAAGAGCTTCTAATGCAACTAAATGTATATTTTTACCACAATACTCTTTTTTACCACTAATATTTCATCTTATAAATAATGCTAATAACAACGGAATCAATCAACATACATAAAATTCGAAGAAGTTTGAAATGAGCAACATTTTATTTTTATTTTCCTAGTAATAGAAATTAAAACTAACAGTATATAAAAAAATAAATTCATTTAATTTAAAACAATAACATAGTAATATAAAATCAAGACATTAAAGAAATTTAAATGATTTCTTGCAAAGCTAAAATTAAAAATAATAATAATAAACAATTATAAATATTTTCTGACATCATATTTGTTTTGAGAGACATTAGTTTATAAGGAAATTCATTTTAAAGTACGACATTCCATGATATGCCTGTTATTGTTGCGGTTATTATATTTGAGTTATTTTTTGCGGCTATTTCGAACAAACAGATTTAGATTTCAATAGATTCACACTGAACTTAAATGCAGATCAAAATAATAAATATATAGACAATTAGTTCATGAATACACTCCTGATAGCTTATAAACTATTTATCTTATCCACACAGGTTTAGTGCCATTCCATTTAAGATTTTAAAAAAAAATACATAGCAAACAATAACTCACTAGTCTGGATAGAAATGTAAGGCACGTAAATAAGGTCAAAAATAGCACTTTTCATGCAAATAAACCTTAATTATTACCCTTATAGGCTCATATAATATTTGTTCTCATTTAAATCAGCATAAAAAAAAAATAAAGGAAACAATATACATCATTTGTCTAAACAGCAATAGTTAAATGGCTTTATTTTTTTCACCACAACTTGCTGTACAAGATTGTGCAACTCTTGAGCACAGTTTTTTTCAGTTTGAACATTTTTCATGTTTTTCCTGGGTAGAATATATTTTTTTGCACGGGTTAAAACCTTTTTTGCTTATTTATAATGTATTATTCTTGGAACAGCTAACTAACAAATACAATGCTATTGATAAACTGCATATTCCCAATAATGATTATCAAGTTTGTATTTAAAAAATATCATATTTAAATTAGTTATTGTAAGTTTCATTATCATTTACTTAAATAAGACAATTAATATACACTTAATTTACTTATTACTATACACATAAATAAGTCAATGCAGAGCCAATAACATGAAATTTCTATAAGAAAAATTTGCAAAAGCATATTTTATGCGATGGTACTGCCATATTGCATAAATTTATAACACAATTTACTTATCTCTATTGGGTTTACCTATCACTCATTACTAATTTGCTTGAAAAATATATGAAATTAGAAAAGTAGAACTATTTGCAGAATAATAATTAAACTATATCACAATATTGCAAAATAATAATTCAATTACATAACAATATTGTAAAATAATAAATAAACCACATAACAATATTGCAGAAAATATTAAATTCATTTTATCATAAACTGTAACTTAATGCACTTTGAAAAATGTGGCTGTGATTATAATGTATAATATGTTTTAAACAGAAGAGAATTATAAACTTATGATAGGTAAAATTAATTATCAAGATGCTTCAACATTAAAAATTTCTTTGGACAGAATTTCATTCAAACACTTTGCAACTGAGTCAATTTTATCATTTACTTCTAGATCTGGAGATGGGATATTAGGCAAAAAACCATGTTTGTTAAGACTAGGTTTTGGTAAATCACACTCACAGCATGGTCGTGGGTATTCAAATATGTAATTATGTATCAATGCCTGTAAAGAAAAAAAAATCTTTTTAATGTAATGCTAAATTTATATTTGTTTAAAATAAGTGTTTAAAAAATATTTATATATCTTCATATATTTTTTTTAAAATGAAAAGAATTTATTTGAAATAAAATTTGTGCAAAAATTACTATATTGAGCTTTTCTCTGCAAATTTTTCGGAGAAATCCTAAAGTATATATATATATAAAAGAAAGGAATAATTTATATAGTTTGTCGTTAAGGGCTCTTTGCATTAGTGGTTTGTCATTAAAGGCTCTTTGCATATAACACCCCTGCAGTGTGTGTGGGGGTGGGGGGGGCAGAGGTTAGAAGGTGCACACTATAGAAAAAATAACATGATATGTAATAAAATATGCTTTTTTATTAGGTATTTTTTTCAATTCATTTATAAATTCATTCAATTATTCATTCATTTCAACCTGCAGTCTTCTCTGCATAGCAAAACCGGTTTATCCATGCTAATGGATAGGGGAATAGTGTATAGAAGAGAAACATTCTCCTAATTTTGCCCACTTCCTTAACCGCCAGTGGGTTAAATCTTGCAGGAGGGCAGGCACACTTAAGTCTATGCAAGCCGCTGGTTTAAAAACACAAAATGGATTCAACTTCTTCCCAGTCAATATATGGGGAGTTATATGAATGCAATTTGTTTATATATTTAGTAACTGATTAATATCTTAAAATATTTTTTTCTTCATATTCAGGAAATGTTTCATTTAATATTTTAAATATGACAAATTATTATTATTTGGCATTTAGAGCTGTAGTTATTTTTAAAATTTAAAAATACAGGGATGAGAGTAGTCAGAAAGTAAAAAAGAGGAAATCCAAGATATATATATATATACATATATATATACCCTCCAACTTATGAGGATTTTGAAAATAATTCTTTCTAGTGGTAGCGAACCAAAGTAGAAATTTTTAAAGCAAATGGATGTCTCATAAAACTTTTATCAGAACTTAAGAATCTAGCCATATGGCCTGCACTTTTATAAGTAATAGTGGACAAGTTACGCTAAAATTAATTTTTTTTAAATATTAAGACATTAATTTTGCTACCGTCTGAAAAGAAGATTTCTGAAACTACGGAAATTCCGTAGCAGTTGGAGGGTATGTATGATGTATGTTTTATGGTAGACAAAAATTGTTTGTTTCTGGAAAGTTATTCCTAAAAATGAAATCTTGTGACACCTTTTCTCCTTTGATAAAAAAAGACCGATTTTCTTAATAGAAATCGTGCTTAGGAATAGGTTAATGCACAACTTTGTCTAGCACTGCATAAAAGTTTGACGTTACTGCTGCATGTTTTATTAGGAATCTAATTTATTTAATCGCAAGAGATTCTCTTGCTTACTTGTTTTCTATCCAATGGGAATTTTCCTGATTAATTCACGAAATCGAAGTAAAAGTATATATAATAATATTCTGTCGAATAAAGTGGTACAACTTGGAAAAAGAAAATAATGAATCTATAACTTTTTTAAGTATTAGTCGGACTTTTGTTCAGTAATATTTCGAACTTAAATTTTTTAATGTGCGTAGCAATTAACTATAACCCTGACTTAACATGTTTAGTTTAAATAACCTTAACTAAAAAGCTTACAAATTTTTACTAACTAAATTTAGCTACAAAACAAAAATTCAAAAACTCGCAAATTGTCGGGAAAAGATCAGCATGGAAGAAATAATGTCATAATTTTTTGTTGCGGCAATTTTAAATAGGACATTTTTTATTGGGAAGCTTGTTGTTCTTGATTAATAAGCTAAGAACATAGTACGTACCTGTTAACCAAAACATTTTAAAATTAATTTAAACTGATTACTAGTTATGAAAATTTTGCTATACTATATTGTATTTAAGTGCATTTAAACAAATTGTTGCTCTATTTAAGAACAAATGTGTGTTTGGCTATAATAGTTTTTAAAAAAATTTTTGAATGCAGTTAAAAAAATTTACCATTAACAAAAATATTTATCTGTTCCATATTCTAAAAATTATAAAATTGTGTTGTTTATAAAATAAATGGAAAGATGAAGCTTAGATACTTCACTATTTATCAGGATNTTATTTAAAAAAACGAAACTTTTAGAGAATCGGAGTTTTTGATAAAAAGGCTGAAATTCGAGAGACAAAAAAAATCTCATCCCTGTATAAAGGTCAGCCAGTTTCATCCCAAGGAAATGATTTTTAGAGAAACTTCAGAGGGAGGAAAAGGGACTTCAACAATTTCCCTCCGCGGAAAATTAAATTCCTCATAAAACATTTTAACTTGGGCAAAAAAAATTTCAGCGGAAATTAGCGGGAAAAATGGAAAAATCTGAAAAAAAGCGGAAATCCGCGAATCCGCGGAAGAATTTCATCCCTGAAAATAAAACACTAACTTTTTAAATTTGGGCAACTAAGTTAAATTAAACATTCTTCAATGAGTAAATAGAAAAAAATATATAAATATGAATTAGTTCTTTTATAAATACTCAAACTGCATTTATATAATTCTTCGAGGATTAACATGGAAAAAGTTGAATCACTATTCTGTCTGACTGAAGGAGTTTTTCATGTGTAATAGAATAAAATTAACGTATGTGATTTTGTTAAGGTGCAGAAATAGAAATTACATTCTCACATTAAATTCAACAAAATAAAATGAGATAAATAATATGACAATAACTTATTTCAAATGCATTATTTGAACTGATTGATTGTTAACTAAAATAACCTGATCAGCTTTAATTCTTTTATCAGATGGATAAACCAAAAATTGCTGCAAGAGGTCTCTGGCAGCAATAGTAGCATCAGGAAATAATTTCTCCCATGGAATGGGATTATATTCGGGAAAAGATATTTTGTTGTAATCAGGCAGATCAACCATTTCCTATAAATAAATAAATAATTATTCAATAATGTTTGAAATTTCCAAATAATGATAATAAATCACTGTTTAAATGTTAATAAGAGAATTGGAATTTACAGGCCAAATTTCCTCAGATGGTGTTCCAAGAGTTTGAAGGACTAAGCACAATTGTTCAATATCATTTTCTCCCTGAAATAATTTGAAATTTGTAGCATTTCAAAAATGTAATTTTAAAAATGACAGATAATTCTTACTCTTTTATTCATGCATATTTTCCTATTATAAATGTTTCATTTTTAAGAAAGAACAACAAACTTACCCTAAATAAGGGAAACTTATTTAACATTTCACCAAAAATACATCCTATGGCCCTAAAAATAAATGCAAAAATATTATCCACAAAATTTACTAACACAAATTATTAATTTTTTTTTTAAAAATAATAGTCAGTTGATGATATTTATAATAAAATTTAACTAACCTCATTAAGCCTAAGCAACTGTAAAATATATAATAATTTTTTTTGAAATTTCTAAATAAAACATACATACTTACATAATAATGTGTGATAAAATTTCTCATACAATTTTCAATTTTAACAGTTATAACTGATTTATTAAACTAAATTTCAATTTCAAGTTCAAAAAACATTTTCCACAAAAACACCAAGCATTTTGGTAATATGTTACTCATAACAAAATAGACAATTACCTACACTTGAAAAATAAACATCTGTACTTGAAAAAAAAATAACCTAAGGAATACAGATTGTGAGACTTAATGTGAAGTTATAAATTAGAAGTAATTTTACTTGTTGTTAAGAATTATAACAATTTAAATAGAAAACGGTTTTTATCACTATTTTTTAAGTTTTTTCATTTTTGAAAATTTCACTGTAAATGGCAACATAATGGATTTGCATGTGGCAGCAGGTAATCTCCATCTAGCTCTTTCTACTTTTGACTAACATCAACTCAAGCACAAGCTTATAAAATAGTGATCTTATAAGGAAAAAATAAATACTCTACAAAAATGGAAAAATAGTCAATATTTAAAACAAAAATTTAAAAAAAATTCATGAAAAAGCACATTAATTTGTAATAACTTTTAAATAAATGATATTTCAAAACAAAATTCACTTTAAGTGCACAAATAAAAATGGTTTTTACAGTTTGTCAAGTTTTAACTCTTTTATAAGCTACAGATCGACCAAATATGCTATTTATTTCCAACAAGTTTAACGGTTAATAATTCTTAAACTAGTAGTTGAATATCAAATGTTTTATTCCGTTATGCAAGCTGTACTCTTTCTATCTACTTTCGTAATTTCAAGTTTCTAAGTGTTATAGATTGTGTGCAGAAAAGCAAAATGCAGTGTAAAGTGAAAAAAAAAAGTTTGCAAAAAAAGGAATGCAAAATTGCAATAACCTTCAAAAAAATTGAAATTTCGAAAAAAACAAACAAACAATCTCTGTGCTAATTTAAAATATGGCCTTTTCAGCATATCGAGCACTCTGCAATTGCATTCTTGTGCTCTGTAGAGTGACATGTAAGGTATTTTTTTCTACAAGTTTAACCAATAATAATTCTCAAATTAATTATAGAATGTAAAATTGTTTTATTTTGTCGGTCTCCCAGTAAATTGGAGAGATTCTGCTCTAGATTAAAAAATAACAATCTAGAAAAAAAAAATTTCTACAATCCAAAACAGCGGCGTGGAAATTTTTTCAAAATATATATAAAGAAAAAATTCAAACAAAAAATTAATATGTTCATTACATGGCAAATAAAAAACATTTACATAAAAAGCATATTCTAAATTAATAAAAAACTATTGCATGAAAGCTCAAGTATTGTATCAATTCAAATTATTATACTTTTAAAAAAAATCACTACTTTAAATGTGCTTAAACATAATTTAGTTTTTATAAAATTTTTAGCTAAAAAACATTAAACTAACCATAAGTCAACAGCTTCATTATATGAACGTGAACCATACAACAATTCTGGAGATCTATACCACCTGAAATAATGTAAAAAATTTTTTTTTATTTTATTTTGAACATTACATATAAATGATGTAGCATTAATTAATTTCAAGAAATTTCGTAAAAATTACCTTGTAGCTACTTGATGGCTATAATTTGTTCTTCCTTTATTATATAAATCAGCTTGACCAAAATCAGCAATTTTTAAATGACCCGAAAATGAAACTAATAAATTTGCTGGCTTTAAATCCTACAAGAGCAATTAGGTTTAGAACAAAATTGAAAAAAAAATTAATAAAAAAGTAATTTGATTAAAAAGAAACTCATAAAAATTTGAATGAAAAAAGACAGAAGAAAAATGAAAATTTGAACTAACAACAAAAGTGTTTATCTATAAAATCTGCATTGAAACAAAATTAACCTTAAATTAAAGAGCATGGTTGAAAACCTAGGATATGGTAAAAATTTGCCTTTTTTTGCTGGCCTTGAGGTAAAATATGCATTCTTAAAGTCTTAGTTAATTTATTTATAAAAAATATATTTTTTTAGCTCCCTTGGTTCGTCATTCAGCAGTTAAGCCTTCTACCGAGGGTTCAAACCCCAGCTAAGACATTTAATTTATGTTTCTATATTTCTGATCTAACAAAATCGATAACTTTTTAGCACCTACGTTTTATTCAATATAAAAATTATTACATTTTAATGAAATTTTTTTTTCACAAAATCTAAACTTTTAGAATAAAAAAATTTATAGAAATTATAATAATAAAAATTATTTAATTAAAAATTATATTATTTTTATTTGTAATTAAAATATATAAATTATTTAATAAAACTTATTTCTTATTTAATAATTAAGTTTTTTTGTCTTTAACTGAATTTCTTTTTCTTTGTAACAAAAATTTTTAGGTTTTTACTAAATTTAATTTTAAAAATATAAACAAATTGTATCATAGATCTTGTTAAAAAAAATAGAAAAAAGGAATAAATTGAAATGAATTATTTATTACCAAAAAAGAAGATTATGTCATTGAAAATATGAATTTTTGTTTACCAACAAAATTTGTATTTCGATTGTATTAATATACATAATTTTTTAACAAGAAATATAATGTAATTTTACTTGATTAAATTAAAAAAATATTATTTCAGAATAAAAAAATTTCAGTGAGTTAAATTAAAAACATTTTAATTACATTTTCTTATTAAAATTATTCATATGTTTTAATTAAAAAAATAAACATCTACAATTTTATTGTTTCAAAAGTTCGAGTTTTGTAAAAATTAATTTAAATTAAAAAATACTAATTTTATTATTGAATAAAACATACTAAATAGTTATCAATCTTGTTAGATCTCAATTATAGAAATATAAATCATACATCTCAGCTGGGATTAAAACCTCCAATCTCTCAGTTAGAAGGTGGATAGCTTAACTTTTATGCCACAAATCCTTGTTAGCTAAAATGTTTTATTCTTTTAAAAGTAAATGGACTAAAACTGTAAGAGAGCATATTTATCACTAGGGGCAGCAGTAGCAGCAAATTTTCATTCTATCCAAGCTTTTCAAACATGCTATTTAATTCACGCTTAAATTTGCTTCAATACAGATTTAACCTATGCACACTTTCCTTGTAAATAATACTAACTAACTGATTTAATATTTCATACATTATGAAACTTTTGTAATTATTAAAAAAATAATTATGTTTATGTGCTTGCATATTGCAAAGTTCTTTTAAATGAAGCCAAGTATAATCCAAAATGTTTCAAAGAAAAAAAAAAATCTCTTTTAACATAATATTTTTTCTGTTAAAAATCTGTTGTAAATAACAGTTTATTTATAGCATGATTAGTAAAAAGTACAACTGAAATGGACATATTATAGTTTTGGTCTTATAAAAAGAACCTTCCTCAGTGTCTATACACAAATGATGATAGAGAAGTAAAAAGACAAACAAGTTCAAAGTGGTCTATCCAATAGGGACAGAGAAACAAATTTGAACAAGATAATAAAGAAGGGAGATAAGAAACAGGTGTGAGGGGATTATTCCCTTATAATCATTTGGTGTTTAGACATTGAGAAAGTTTCTTATTTGTGAAATGAAAACTACTGTGCGTTCATTTCTCTATTTTCATTTATGCTTTAAATTTTTATTTATTATTATTATTTTTTTTTGCTTTAGTCTACATAGCACTCAAATATATCCTATCCTTTTTGAATGATCTGTATGTTACATAACTTAGTAATTAGTTACGAAAAGTTTAAATTTAAAGGGATAGAATTTAAAAAGTAAAGGATGCCAGGGAAAAAGAAGAAAAAAAAAAGATAAACAGAGAAAAATAGCTTTTCCTCAAACATAATATTGAAATATTTTGAAAATGATCTAATTAAATTACTGCGAGCTTAAAACACAATTTCTTTTGTATGTAAATTGGGAGCGACATTTTAAAATGCTCTTAATTTATGAAGTTTTACCAATCACAATTTACATCAATAGAGAAAAAGAAATTTACTCAGTATCCTTGTAGAGATATACCTATATGTAAATTTTTTTCTTTAATAATGAAATTTAATGAAAAGAATAATTTTGTGAAAAAATTGTATTTTCAGTTGTATAAATCTTCTTTTTATTATTATGGCAAAATACAAAACTAATTTTTGAATTGATGGCTTTTGTTACTTTTTTAAATCTATTCTAAAAGCTTGCTCTTCCAACTCAGAAATACTAGATATAATATACAAATATAAAGAACAAGTAAATTACAGTGACTATATAACATTTAATTCTATCGGAAGCACAACTATTTAACCATTTAATTAATTTTTTAAAAAATGTTTTAATGTATAAGTATATCTCACCCTGTGCATGATTCCTAAATTATGACAATATGCAACTCCACTTAAAATCATTATAAGATAAGCTTTAATTTGAGAATCTGTGAGAGGATTTTCAGTGTCTCTCAATAATATAGAAAGATCAGTAGGCATATATTCAAAAACTAGTACTACACCAGCCCCATAAGAAAAGACATCATGTAGTTTAACAACCTATTGAAAATAAAAAGTAATTTCACATATATTATATTATTTGTGCATAAGTTATGATTATTTCCTTTTAAAGTAAGAGCAAAGTATCAGTCAAAAATTTTTTTATAAGATACAAGTTGAGTATAGTTGAATTATTTTATAGCTTAAAAATTTTTTGCTGTAAAATATTTTGTCCAAAAGGGGAAAAGAATATTACTATTCAGATTGCATAAATAAAGAAATAAAATTTAAAATTGATAATTAGATGCCTTTTAAAAACAATGTATGTAAAATTTTAAATTCTTAGTTGTTTAAAAAATCTTATAAGGAGAAATATAATTTTATATTACAATTTGAAAAGGTAAATTTATTTGCGAATATATATTTATTCAATAACTGTTTTCTTACCTTATAAATGAAATGAATATCAAATTTTGTAAGTTTTATTTTGGATTGGAAAATAAAATAATAAATCATTTTATAAAGTACCTGCTATGAAATGTTGCACAAGTTTATTTGTTTATCTAATTTTCAATTAAATTTTTTTTTTTGAAATCAGTTATCTATTATATCAATAATTTATTAACAGGTTTTTAAAACTTAAATTTATAAAGTAATCAATAATATAAAAGTAATGATACAATATTACAGCATACAAAAAATAATTCATACTTACATTTTTATTATTGATTTGCTGTAAGGCTTTCACTTCTCTGAAAAATTAAAACAAATGTTTCAGAAATCAACATGTATATAATCAACATAATATAATTATTTAAGTTTTAAAAAATAAAGAGCGAGAATAAAAAAAAAATCAATGCACATCTATCCTGATCCAATGTAACATTGTATATCCAATAAAACAATGTAAAAAAGCAATTTTTAGAGAACTATGGCTTGATTTTTATTAATGAGGTATTTGGTCTAGAATAAAAAAAAATGAAAAATAAATAAATGAAAATTGAAATGAATTTTAAAGAAAGAGTCCAGATTGAGTAAATCATTTCTGTACTTGCAATTATTTTACCTTCAATGAACCTTATACTACTAAGAAGCCCTGTAATATTTCAAACAGAGAAAGCTAATAAACCGATATATCAATGTTTACACTAAAGCAACATTTATGGTAAAAAACATAAACAATAGAAAACAACAAAAATTTATTAACTTTATGAAAATTCTAAAATCAATGTTGGAAAAAACAAAAAATTATAAATAAAACAACATAATTTAGCTATAATGTCAGTATAAATTTAGAGGTACAAATAAATTAACATAATTTAGCAAGATTATAAATTAGATAATACTCTTATTCTATGTCTTCAACATAACTTTTATACATACCGAAGAGTTACACATGGTATACCATCATCAAGGCATTTTAACGGAATCTTCTTCAAGGCAAAAGTTTCATCCGATTCTTTATGTTTTGCTTTCAAAACAATACCATGAGCACCTTCACCGATTCGACCAATTACAGAATAAAATTCCATAACTTAATCATCTATAAAGTTAATATTCGAAATCCTATTCTAAAAGAAAAATTAAGATATTAGAATTAGATAGTTATAATTTGTACCTTATTTACATACTTTCTTTATATTCAACTATTATTTTAATAAATTGTCTTAAATCAATTAATAGTACAGTTATAGTTGATTTAGGAATGTTAAAAAAAAAAAAAAAAACATTTTTTTGGTAATGTTTTTACTATACTGCAGTCAGTTGAGTCTAGGGCAGTAGAAATAGTACAGAAAAAAATCTTTATTACTTTCACTATAGAAAATTAGGTACAAAATTAATAAAGTAAAAGCTTAATTTTCCGCAGTCTAAAATTTAAATTAATAGCTTGCAATACTATTAAAAAATTAGTTGTTTGACTAAATAAAGAGTTAGGTTAAAAGGCTGTCATTCACATATATTAAAAAGTTTTCAGATGAAGACACATACATCTCTTTTGTGGCGGTTATTATTTATTATGTCAGGTTATTTACTTTCAGATTTTTTGACACTTAACAGACCTTTTTTTCTCCACAGTAAACTTGTGAGGTATAAAAATTATAATTACAGTTGTGATTTACTATTCATATATAACAGTGGTTATCAACAGGAGGCCTGCAAAGCCTTTTTTTATGGCCAGCGAACTAATATATTAGTTGTCATTTCTTGCGGACAATTTTCGTAAAAAATCTACACGGGTTTAAAATACTGTTCCTTCATTAAAAAACCCCTAATTTTTTTGTTTCTGTGAAATTTAACATACCAACGGCGCAAATTTTTTTTCTTCTTAGGTTTTGCATCTCAGAAATATTTATTCAAATACAAAAATAATTGTGTATGTTGCTTAATAATCTACTGCTAATTTCAATTTATAATTCAAGTTTCGTACAACTTGATAAAAATCTGACAGTAATATTTAATGTTCCTTCAAACATAAAAGAGTTCTATATAAAATTTTGATAAAGTTGCAGCTCGCTTCTTAACTGGTGTTTTTCATTGCAGCCCCCTGCCTCATGTAAGTTAGAAATCCCTGATATATAACATCAGAAGTAACAGTAATGAAAGGGCATATGCTTTTCAATCTAGGAAAATAAATGGTTTAGTGATTAAAAAATTAATAAATTACATTTACTTTGTAAAGGAAGGGTAAGTGGAGGATTTTAATTCTAGAACTCTAACACTTGCACGGTGACATAAAAGAAATTTTTTTAAAAACTAAAGTACCTACTAAAGGAATTTTTTTTTAAACTTTAAAATTTTTCAATTCTATTTCAAATTTTATTCCTAATTCTTTATCCAAAGCTTCGCAAAGTCAAGCCATGACTCTTATGACTTTATTAAGAAGTTATCACAATACATAATCTGAAGTCAAATAACAATCTCTTTTCAGAAAATATTTGTATTACCTGTTGCTTAATATCCAAATTACTAATATAACATCCTTATAATAAAGAACAAAAATATATAAATTATAATTGACGTAAGAGATGACTGGCATTTCGGATTTAAAAAGTCTTAAAAAATACTTATCTGTTTCAGAAAGTAATAAAAAGCTTATTCTTAAAAGTACCTTTATTGTTATATAAGGTACACATAGCCATAACAATAACAGAACCTATAATTATATCAAATGAAGCATTACTAGCATCAATAACTTGAAAGTCCTTTAAAATAGAAAAATACTAAACATACTTATTAGCTATAGTATAGTTTTCTCACTTTTTCTCTTTTTTTTAAAAATATCTTTTACTACTAATATAGCTTTACTGAAACATATAATTTTCTTATTAAAAATACAAAATCTAAAATGCAAAAAGTGTTTTACACTTTGTAATACACTATCTAAACAAATATTTTTACTAATTTCTGAGAAATCTGTAACATTGCGTATAAAACAAAAACTTTATAAAAATGGGAAAAGCAATCCTGAATATTAGTAACGTAATTAAAAAGAAATCTACATGTCAAACAAGAAAACATTTTACACAATTTAAAATGGTCAAAGAAAAAAGAAGGGGATATTTTCATAATCTTAAAGATTTCATTTAAAATCGAATGGAGTAAATAAAAATTTACCAATTGCAAACAAAGATGACATAAATAGAATAAAATAAGTAAAAGGAGTTTAGGTTTTTTGTTTTGGTAACCATAGTAACTACGGTTGACGGTTTACATTTGAAGGGTTATTCCCACTGCATGTCATTCAGACATGCAGTGGGAATTTTGTTGAAAATCGCAATTTTGTTTTTGTACACGTGGATTAAAATTTCGTGTATGTGAAAAAAATCGCATGTGAATTAGAACCAGATTGGTGGAAAAATCTTTATCCGTAAAAAACTCGCCAATCAATCTTTTGAATTTTTTCGCTTGCGAAAATTTGTACTTAGTATGAATAGCCTTTAAATTAACTTTTAAAACTCTTAATTAATCGTAATCATCAAGAAAGTTCAATCGGTAGCAGACGGCTTTTTTAGTTCCGTTCTACTGGATTTCGAATTTAATTCAAAAATTATTGCGGAAATGGCAAACAAATTTATGCTGTGTGATATTTATAACTTAATTGTTTTATAATCGCTATATTTAGTAAGCTGCTTAGAAAACTTTTCCTCGCAGAAATGTTAAAATGAAGCAGTTTTGTGTAAACTTATTCTAACTTTTCTACTTCAGAGGTCAAGGGACTACATTGGTACAAACAGTTATTTATTTTTTATTATTGCTCTCTGAAGTATTTTGTGTCTGTTTCTATTATGTGATTATTAATTTTATTCATTTTATGCATCTATTTATTTACAAGAAATTAAATAAGCCGGAAATAATTAGGTTACCCAAGATCACATGGACCATTATTAAATCTGTTAAAACTAAATTTTTAATATTTAGCTCATTATTTTTCTAATAATTAATACCATGTAATGTATTGCATTAGAGAATTACAGTTTTAATACAGTAGTTTTTCAGTACAGGCTTTCTTTAATGATCTCAATTTCCGAAGCATAAATCTTTTAGTATACATTTACAAAAAGTATTTTTATTGTTAGTTTTTGTGTTTTTACGACCTCTCTCGCATTTTTTTTCCTTCGGAGATCAATTTTATATTACCTATTACAGTTCTAGGCTATTACTTATTAATGATCAGTGTTTGTTGGCTCATGTTTCTCCCAATAACATTATGCAAACAAATTTATGAGAATGTTAAAATAAAAAGAAGAATTTATTAAGAAATCGTCTATTTTTTTGTTAAAACTTTTCTGCGCTTTTAGATTTTTTTAAAAACTGAGTTTTGTGTTTCTCTGTTTTAAATGCATTCATTGTGAATCACTAATAGTGAGTTCTTTGTTCTCTGAATAATTAATTAATGTTTTGAATGTTGGTTAACTTTATACCGCTATATATATTATCAAGTTTCTTATAATTAATATTTAATCAGCATCAACTCTAGGGTATACTTTTCTCCTAATCAAATACCCATTTTTTGATATAGAAATTGTTGATATTACTTTTTTAAATGTTGATAAGGTAAACTGCCAACAATGTTGAAAGTATAATAAAATCCTGTTTGAATTAAATTGAATAAGAATTCTATATTTTGTTGACTAAATAAATTATACACTTCTTAATTGAGATTATTTACATAAAAAGAAACAAGAAATGTAAAATAATTATACATTCAAATAGATAAATGCATTTATAATAATAACAGATAAGTTTGTAAAAAACTATTTTTATAACATACATTTTTAAGATGTTATTTTAAGCAAGCAGTCATTTAAAGTTTTGTTGTAAATATTTATAATATGCTTTTGTATGTTATTATTTGTAGTATTTTGTATACTTGTATTTATACAAGTATCTAATTTTAATTTCTATTTTTAAACTAATATCTCTGTCAGTAATACAACTGCAATTAGCAATTTTTTTTAAGAAATATATTACTAGTCTGTATAATACAGAAATTATTTATCTGATCTGATTAAAAAGTATTCAAGCTATTTCACAAGACTATTATTTTATGCTTTAATCCTATTTTGTTTGTAAAAATAAATAAATAAATATATATAAAATTTCTTTATCGTCTTTTTCACTTGAGAAAGTTTAATTTTTTACAATGCACTCATTATTAATTTATTTTTTATGTGTTTTTTGTTGCTTTAGGTGCATAAGTTTCTTTAGAAAAAGTCATGGAGTATTCTGCTGGATCCTTTACACTGTTTGATTATGCTATATTAATATTGATGCTAGCATTTTCTGCAAGCATTGGCATTTATTATCGCTTCTCTGGTGGACGTCAGAAAACTAACAAGGAATATTTTCTTGCCAACAAAGACATGCCCATTACTCCTGTAGCATTTTCCTTGATGGCTAGTTTTATGTCAGCTGTCACAATTCTTGGTGTTGCTTCAGAAAATTATATGAATGGAACTCAATTTGTTATTATAAACATAGCGTACATTATTGGAACACCCATAGCAGCATTTATTTTTCTACCCGTGTTTTTTCAGATGCAAGCTACTAGTGCATTTGAAGTAAGCTTTCATTTCAAATGTATGATTTCAAATTTAGTTCTTTTTACTGGTCATTTTTTAAAAAAATAATGTGTGTTATTTTTAATTATGAAACTTTGGAAATCATTATATTACTCTGTGGAAAAAAATTTAGCTTTTGAGGGTCACAAAGAGTTCAGTTTTTAAATCAATTGATCATAACTTACTTAATCCTATTGTTGAAAGCTTAAGAATAAATCAGCTTCACTTAAAAATTAAAAGACAAAGTATGTGTGCAATATTTTGCAATTGAAAAGCAATAAGTATTGCATGCTTTAGCTTCTTAAAAATATTAAATTTTATCTAGTTTTTAAATTTTTCTTAGGAAAAAATAATTTTACCTATTTTTCTGTATATTAATTACCTTTTTAATTTTTAAATAAATATTTGAATCACATTTATTTTGAAATTTTTTACTTATTTATTGGTGAGTAGTACTGCATGGGCCATAGCCTTCTCCAGGCAGGCATCTGCTTAATGTTTCTTGTAACCATACACTAAATATTTTATTGTAGCCATTATGTCGCAATTACATTATTTTTAAATACATTAAATTCAATATTTCAGAACTCCTTCATAGAAATCAATTTTATTATTAATTTTCATATAGAAGTTATGTTCTGACTCTTATACTTCAGAACTAGATTAACTGATTTCTTAAAAATAATTTTTAGTAATTAACAAAACTTTCATAACATATCAGTGCGTACATAGTGAACCCTATTTCCATAATTAGTTATGCATATGCGATATGCTTGCTTGTATCATTGATTTGTTTAATTATTGAAATCTAAGAGTAATATGAATTATATTATTTATTAATAGCTATTTTTTTTCTCTTTGTAGTATTTGGAGAGACGTTTTAGTAAAGAAACTCGATTGTTGGCCAGTTCCATTTTTATTCTTCAGATGGTAATATTTAAATTTTCATTTCAAAATTAAACTGCTATTTATGAACAATAAGTAAATATGTCCATACATAATTTTATGTTGATTTATATGATTCTTATCCTGAATTTATATATAATAGACTAAAGCAAAATACAATGTGAATAAAGTACAAATGAAAGTACTTTATTCAAGTTGTTTTTTGCTTTTGCATAGCACGAAGTATACCCTATCCTTTGTTGAATAGACTATATGTTAATAAAAGTGCATTTTTGTTTAGTATATATAGAGTACTTGCCAAGTATATTCAGAGTATCTGCTGTAAAGCACTATTCAATATTTATTTAATGCAAAACTCTAATGATTAATACTACTAATTATTTATGAACTTTGAGTTTATTTTGAAGTTGAGACAATCCTTTACTTATTTGCTATAGATATGTTTTTTTTGTTTATCACCAAATGACTTTTTGTTAATGCAATTATATTTCTTCAAAACTATTTATACTTGTTTTGATTTTTTATAATTCTATTTTTTTAACAATAGGTTTTGTACATGTCAATTGTTCTCTATGCCCCAGCTCTTACTTTAAGTGCAGTCACAGGCCTTTCAACATGGACGTCAGTATTATCTATTGGCACCGTATGCACATTTTATTCCACTATTGTAAGCTGAATTTTGATTAATTTTTTTTTATAGAAATTTTAAGTAAATTCGTATAATAGTATAAGTACTTTGAATTTTATACTCTATTAAAAGTTAATAATGTAGTATTAAATTCATAGATGTATATGAGGTATAGATGTGGAAGGAAATATATATATTTTTTACATCTTTATTAAAAAAGAACTTACCAAACAATATGCAAGCTATTTTGTTTTGAATAATTTTCTATAGTTTTATGAAAGATAAATATTTACAGCATGTAATATAATTTCTGCTGTCACTACATCCCTGTGGCAAAATCCTAGCAGCACAGCGACATTGTCGCTGAACACTACCGAGTTCATGCGAAAGATTTTTCTTTTGGGAAGTAAAAAGTTTTTCTTTTCTGCAGAAATTTTCGAAAGATTTTATCTTTTCTTCAGAATTCTTTTCTGCAGAAATTTTTGTTCTAATACATTTACTATTGATTTCCACATAGTTTTAAAATCCGATATTTTTAATATTATATTATTTTATTATCTCGAAATAAAAACGCACATTTAATAAAACTTTTTTGAAGAGTCCCATTTACGAGATTTCGTCGTCGATCTTTTTTTTTCTGTAGTTACTGCTACGGATTTCACGATTTTTTAATTATCTTTTTTAATGAGGTGATTTACAAAATGCGAAAAAGGAAATAATTAGTGTGTTTTCCCCCTACAAAATGCGAGAATATAGCCTATAATATTAGAATTAAAATAATATATTAAATATTTAACTAAAAAAATATTTCATTTGATTCGAAATGTTTATTTTTTTTCTTTTCTTTTGAAATTGATGCTTTTGTTACTTTAATTTAGTAACATGTATATTTGTTATTTTTAAAAGAATCTTGCAAAAAGATATTAGAGAGGTATGTCGCAGAAAGCCCGAAAATATTCTGCCACAAGGCACTACATTTTCAGATTTTCTATCTGTTATAGTAATCAGAATTGAATTTTTATTTCTTAGTTTTTCATTTTTGTGATTGTAATTTTTTTATGAAACTAACTTATCTATACATTTCAATTCTTATAATACCATAATTTTATGTATTAAAAGGAAATAGAATATTTTCTATTTAATATTACAATTGTTTATTTAGGGTGGTATGAAGGCTGTATTATGGACTGATTTATTCCAATCTGTTTTGATGTTTTTGGCTGTATTTGCTGTAATTGCTAAAGGAACAATAGATGTTGGAGGATTTTCGCAAGTCTTTGATATTGCTAGTAAAGGAGAAAGAATTCAATTTTTTAAGTATGCTTTTTAAAATTTACAATTCAAGAAAAATCTGAATAATGCTAAATTAAGTTTCATTTATTCATCTATGCTATATAAATAAGTTTTCATTTATTTTAGTTTTGATCCTGATCCCACTGTTAGACACACTGTTTGGAGCTTAGCAATAGGAGGAATATTCACATATACATCTATATATGCTGTTAATCAAGCTCAAATTCAGCGTCTTCTGACTGTAAAGAGTTTGAAGAAGTCTCAAATGTTAGTGAGTATTACTTTTGAAGCTTAATTTAATTTATTTTAAATCAAAGCATAAAAGGTGAGTAAATTAGTAAAATAAGGCTTCACAATTTTGAGATCAAAAGCCTGATTGTGATAATGTGGTCAGCATTACACACAGACCACCTTTTTTTCCCTATACAAGCTGGTACCCATCTATCTGACGCTTTTCTAGCTTCAAGCCACAACTGAGGATCGAACCCCTGTCCTTAAGTAACTTAGTAGTTAATAGATATATTTTTACTTCCGCTATGCCCATTGTGTGCCCGGGGGGAAGGTCACATAATTTTGCCACCAACAGTGGGATAGTCACAAGCAACTTTTACTTTCTAGACAAATTGGAATCCATCCATCTGCAGTCGGGCGAACTTCAAGCTGCTACTAAAGGTTGAAACTCAGTCTTTCACAATGACAGTTATGAAGCATGAGTTATGAAGCATTGTGAGAGAAAGATTTATTAAATGATTATGGGTCCTTCTCTTAGATTTAAGATTTTTAAAACTAATTTGTTCATGTTTGAATTAAAATTTTCATTAGTCAAGTAAAACTTATGTGTAGGGATTGAATTGTAGTAGTTCAAATCTGCAAACAGAGTTAAAGGTATTTATGAATTTTTTTCTCCTTAAAACATTAGATCAAATCGTAAAGAAGCTTTCTTCCCAAGTTTAGTTGAGATTTTAAAAATATTAGAATTCGCAATGAGCTTAAGTATAAGATAATAATATCAAGTAAAACTTATGTAATGTTTTATGTTATTAAAATAAAATTTATAAATCCTTAATTACCAAAACTGCACACATGTTCCTAGAGATAGATCCCTATGTCTACAGAAATGTTTTTTTAATAATTTTATGATCAGTTTCATAAATTTTTACCTGGAAATACTTTTTGTAAATTAATATTACATAATGCTTTAATCAGTGCTAATAAGATTCCTACTTTATTGGCTCAATAAATGGTAATGATTAGGTGAGCTTGAAACAGTCTTTTCTTTAAAAAAAACTATGATGGCCCATTATTTTTTCATGTAAGGTTAATGTTTATACATTTTAATGTGTAGTATGATTGTACTACTTGTAGTATATTATATTTCCACCATTACCCATTTTCATTTCCCCCCTTTTTTTATATTTTCTTATAATGACTTCATGAAATTTACATATTTATAGAAGAGTAAAGCATATATTCTAAATTTTTGAAACATATTTAATTAAAATTAATTTTATTAGTTATGTAGCTATAATTTTATTATTCTAAAAAAAAGAAGAGTTACACACATAATATAAGTTAATATAGTGCAACAACATTGACTTATGTCAGCAAAGGAGTTGTGTTAAATTGTGGTAATCATACTTTTATATATATTTTTAAATATTTGTTTACATATTTTTCAGAGCACTATTTATTAACTGGCCAATTACAAGTCTTCTTAGTGTTACCACTAGCCTAGCTGGAATTGTTGTTTATGCTAATTTATGGAAATGTGATCCCCTGTTGAGATCAGAAGAAACTCATGTTACTCGATCTGATCAAGTAAGATTTTCATAAATTATTAAATAATAATTTTTAAGCTTCCTTAAAACTATTAATGACAAATAATTTATTTAAAAAGATAAGATTCCCTCAGGAATTTATCTGCTTTATAAGATCAATATGAGTTTCATCTTCGCAAGGTGACCTTTTTTTGTCCATTCTTTTATATTTTTTGTGTCATAGTTTTTTTCTAGTACACTTTGTCATCTTGAGTACATATATTATTGTAAGTTACTTACCATGGTGTATCATAAGCAAATGATCACTCAAATTAATTTCAATCGGAACTAAGTTAAATAATATCTATACAGTTTTATTTGAAAGGAGACATTAGATATTTTGTATAGATCTATCAAATTATGCTTAAAACTGGCCAGGGAGTTGCTTGGGAGTGAACTATCGCCAGAAGACTGGTCAAGTGCTTTTAGTTGTTTATCAGTTGATGCTTATGACTTTTAAATACTTTTTGTGTTATATGACTGATTGCAACAAATAATGTGTGTAAGAAAACTAATTATAAATGACATTTTAATGATTGGATAGATTAGCTTGATTGGATTGAAATTTACTGTTATAGTTCAATGCTATTCAAACTTGACTTTGAGTAATTGTGATGGGGAGTTTAAGTGCATCTTTTATCTTCGATTCCTGGTATAATTATTTTGAAATGCTTTTAGTACTTTGGGATAGTCCTAGTAATCGCTTTTGTTGTTTCATAGGAGGGAATTTAACCTGATCAAAAGTTTTATTTTTGTTTTTATAATAGTTAATTAAAAGCAAAAAATGAAAGTGTATAATAGTGCAAAATTGTGATGCTGTGCCTAATTTATTTCTAAATTACCGCAAACACTTGATAATATCAGCTGTATATTGAAACTGCTACTTCCTTAAAATTTACTTTTGAAGAACGTCTTATGCTACTAAATTAGCCCATATTATGTTTAGATACTGTTTTAGCTGACAGCGTTTTTATACTAATTTATTTGACATACAATAAGTTTGTTGCCTCAATTCTTTATAGATTCTGCCTTATTATGTCATGGCATCTCTCAGTGTATTTCCTGGGCTTCCTGGTTTGTTTGTATCTGGAGTGTTTAGTGCAGCTTTAAGTACTGTTTCATCTGCAATAAATTCCTTAGCTGCTGTAACTGTTGAAGATTATCTGCGGCCTCTTTGTTTTAGGAACACAAGTGAAAGTAGGATAGCCAATTTTACAAAACTAACAGGTGCAAAATTTTTTTTGGTTTCTTGTAAATATTTTTAAATTTCTTAATTATATTTCATTATATTTAGTTAGTCTTGATTTTATTTGGACTTTTGTAAAATTTCAATAATTTTTCCTTTTTTAAAATTGTAAAAATGTTTATTTACTTATTTTTGTGAAATAAACTGTATTCTATATTTTATGCCAGTGATTTTCAAAACATGTGTCACAGCAGCTTGATCTACAGTTTTTTTTTTACTAGGAAACCACAAATAATTTTAAATAAAATTTTTAATGCGAAGTACTTCTTACTTGCACGTTATTATGAAAAATGAGTATAGTAACTGGGGAGAGAGAAGGTTAGGAAAGTGTGCAGTTAATGAAAAAGTTTTGAAATCGTTAAAGGGGGAGCAAAAACAATAATAAAATGATTCATTGTATTTTTTTTCCAGGAGCTCTGGACTATGTCCTAAATAAAGCATCCGAAACATTTACGTAAAAATTTCAATCAATAGTTAAGATTACACCTGTTTTTTCATAAGCCTAAATAGCTTAAATTTTGTTTGTTGTTGAATATTAATCTTGACTTTTTTACATTAATTTAAAAAATAAAAAAAAAAAAGGAAAAAAAATCAATCATATTACAATGAAATGGGTAGTTATAAAAAAATATATATATTTAACAATTGTTAAAGAATATTATTTTTTTTTAATCGCCAAATTAATTATGTTAGATTGAAGTTTGCAATTTTGACAATAATTTATTTAGTTTTCCGATTTTTTTTTAAAATGTAAGGGTCCTCTGAATATTAAGAGGCTGTAGATAATAGAGCTCTATTGCTTTTCATTACATTGCATTTTCTCTTTCAAGTTAGGTAATTTTTTTTAATGTTAGTTCTATAGTTTAATAAGCTAGCTCTGATACTCTAAAAAGACATTGTCATAAAAAAGTAAAGAAGAGAAAATAACTAATATATTTTGACTAAACAATATTATATTTTGAAAATCATTTTCTGTTTGAATAGTAAATTTCAAATAAGGAAGATTTTTGCGGGAAATTTATTGTTTTAGGGTTATTTTCAAATCTCAAGCATTTTTAAAACTGAAATGGTTTAAAAAGTCAAATTAAAATTGATCATTTTTGTGATTAACATATATTTCTGTATGTCTTATATACATGTTTTAATAGTCAGTATCAAGATTGAATTGAAATTAAGATTTAGGGATCCTGTAAGTCATCATGAAATAAAAAATAGTTTTTTGTTGAATATGAAAAATGCCTCAAAAAGTTCAAAGTTCATTAACAAGTTTCAGTGAATGATTGTTATAAACTTTTCATTGTAATATATATTAAAATTAGTGAGAATTGTTTTTAAATGCTACAATGCTACATAATCATTATTTTTTACAGCATTTATTTATGGATTACTTTGCATCCTTCTAACATTTGTTGTGGAAAAACTTGGTGGTGTTTTAGAAGCTTCCTTGACAATTTTTAATGTGATTGGAGGACCAATGTTAGGATTATATTCTCTAGGAATGTTGTGTAGAAGAGCTAATGCCAAAGTAAAAAAAGACTTTTATAACTTGTTTATGAAATTGTTCCTTACATTTTATGTATTATGTACCCAGATCTTATTTTTTTTTTTCAATTTTAGTTTAAATTTGACATACTTTTACTATAAAAAAATTGAAATAGTTTGAACAAAACTATTTTTTGCAATGTCTAATATATAAATGCTCTTGGGTTTAAATTTTTATTTGAAAACTTTATTTTATGACTCTTTGGATCAGTTTAAAAATTAAGTTTATATACTTCCTTTCAGACAGGAAAGGGATTTCACTTCCTCCATCTCAGGAAATATATGAATGCAATTTCTCTATTTAATAAATATCTAATTAATATTTTTGAATAATTTTACTTCATTTTAATCATTGAACTATGCTCTATTGAACTTAGTAAATTTTAAGGTTGTAAGGGATTTTAAAGCTTTCCAGTGTTTTTATAATAGTTTTAAAATTGTTTTTATCTAGGTTTCTTAACTAGGTTCAATAGAACACATTTCAAAGAATAAAATGAAACAAATATTATTAATAAATGTTAATTAGTTATTTAATATACAAGGATATTTATAAATTCTCTGTAGGTTAACTTTACATGGAGGTAGCAGAATCTTTTTCTTATCTGAAGAGGACCTTAAATACATATTTTTTTTTTAGTTATTACTTTCATATTGATCATCATTAATATAAGATTTAAAACTAAAACGTGTGTCACGTTACATTACCCTAGCATGATTTCTTTAAATCAAGTATTCATAGCATTATACAGTGTCAAAAATAAATTACTGGATAAAATTTATTAGGGTTTATATAATTTTAGAACAAAACTGACTACATACTTTTGTGTATATAAAAAATGAGTGTCTCAGTGATTTATTTTTAAGTGACCTTTGTCCCCATGCTTTAAATCATTCACAATGACTGATAACAGTTGAGAGATTAATGTGAGTGATGTACGCTAAAGAAGTCTTTATCTTTGATGGGTAATTTGGCTACTTTTTATTTCCAAGGCAGCTTTTAATGTATGGGCACTATAATATTCCCTTTCAACTTGATATTTTGTAACTTTTTTGGACATAAATTATGATTATTCACTTGATGCTAAATTTAAGTTTCTATGTAAACATAAGCAATGTGAATTTAAATCTTTTTTTCCATAAAATGATTAATTAGTAACTAAAATTGGATAATTTAGTCCCACAAAGTGATTAGATAAGTTCAACAAATGATATTGCCTAGATATTGATTTGAATAAAATAGAACATGTATTTTGACTTAATATTCTTTAAAAGAATTTACTTTATTTCATCACATTATGTCCAGCAAATTATGCTCATAGCCTCTAAGTATGAAGTGTATATATATATATATATATATATACATAAATAAATNATGTCTTTCGATACAGGTTTTGGCTCGGTTGTGGAATCCATATTTGGTAACAGAAAAGATGACTACATCTTCATAAGAGGAATTGCAGATTATAAAGATGGGACAAAAAAGAAAGAGTGGCAGCCATACGCTGCTTTGGCTGCAGCTGCTGTGATGAAATCTATTCTTAGTAATCTAGATTGCGATTGAGAGGCTTTTTTGTTCATTTTGAGAACTTCTTATTATGAGTTGATGTATGTAAAATGCCATGCAAAGAAAGGTGTCTCATTAAGATAAGTTCAAAGAACAAAACTTTTTGTGTAAGGAAAACATTTTTAAAAGGGTTTTTCTGTGCTATTTCATTTCCACGGGCTGTGAAAAGACTATTATTGATGTTTAATTAACTGGTATTGCAGTGGTGGATGCATACTGTGGTGATAGGTTTTTTCGGCCCCCGGGAATGAAGTATCACTGTTTTTTTATATTGTTTTTATATTAAATTTGTATGTTAGCTATTTTTAATTTTCTCAAATGAATTTAGGCTTCTTATGCTATCACATATGTCATTTTTTTGATAGAATACTTGTCATGCATTTTACAACTTTGTTTACATTTTCAGTTGTATGCCTCTTTGTATGTGTAAAAGTTAGTTCTACTTATATATATATATATGAAGAGAGAGAGAGAGAGGGGGGGTAATATAATATTAATTAAAGAAGAGAGAAATTATTAAAATGAAATATTTAAAAATAAAAAGATGTAATCTTGTCATCAGCTCGAACGATTATATCTGTAAAAAAATATATTTTTAAAATATGAAATTTGTATAAATTGTTGCCTACAGTGATTGTTAAAATTAAGAATACAAATTTTTGTAGGATGATAAAGTATAATTTTACATTATTATTTATATATATATATTAAGATTTTTATTTTTCAATGTTGCTAAGGAAAAAAAGAAAAGAAAATTAGTAGAAAATTTTCGGATTTTGTATGAAATTGTTGATCCTAAAGTGTATTTTGTTATTACTGCATATTTTTTTTCAATTTGATAATGGATAATTCTACTATTTAGAAAAGTTGTTTTTAAAAGATGGTTTTAAAAAGTATAACATAGCTAAACAAATTTAAGCAGCTCTAATTATTTCTGCGAAAATGCATCCTTAGTATCATTAAACTTCACTCCAATTTTTAGAAACTTTTAGAAAATTAAAATTTTTTCACAAATTGAAACAATCTGTTACGAACATAACATATTGAGTTTTCATACGTAGCACATAGCAATTTTTCTAAACCAATGTGAGTTACGAAAAGTTGGAGTAAGGGGAAATTAACTAGACTTATTTTAACAAAAATTATTAGAGTTACATGATTTCTTACTGAATTATATGCTTTTGAATTCTGCAAATAGGACATTCCTAAATGGCTGAATTGCTCTAATAGTACATAATTTTATTTATTTAGAGCATTAGTTATTGAATTTCTTATTCTGGAATATTTTTGTTTATTCAGGGATCAGTGGTTGGATTTATTTCTAGCATAATCCTTTGTATGTATGTTGGACTTGGTAGCATGTTAACAAGAAACAAAACTGTTCCAGTTTTGCATCGATCTCTTGATGACTGTCCATTAAACAAAACATTTATAGTTGATAGTTATGCGGGAAACTTTTTCAATGTAACGACTGAGTCAAATGAAGTTCTAATAGCAGATCAGAATCACACATCACTGGAAGTGGAAGATAAGTATGTAAACACAATTAATATTGAACAGTGAATTATGTAATAACAAAAGAATTAAAATGTTGCATTAGTTTTTGCTTTATATAGAAGTAATATATAATTTTTATTGATAAAAATTATTTTAATCACAAATACAATGATTTCAAACAAAAATAAATTCTGAAATCATTATTTATTTTGAAAGAACAACGCAAAAGAACCTTGTTCACATTAGTATAATTGATAAATCATGATTTATAAAATTATACTAAACTATGCTGGCGTACTCTTTTGGATACCAGTCAACTCTTACCTTTTTGCAGGCTTTTTTTCATCAATCTTTAATTCTATTTTTATGAAGCTCAGAAATCTATAGTTTGAAATTTGATTCATTTGAATATTTCAACTATATCTGAATATCAATATTAGTATTTATCAAAACTTTTAAATGCCAAAATATTTCCTTTTAGCAGCCAGTAAGTCCCATTTTGGAAACATACACTTAAACTTAAGATATCTGTTTAATTATTTGTGGCTTTCTAGGAATTTCTAAGTATTTTTGTTATTTTGATTTATATCAAGAAATTTTCCTTAATTAAAAAAATCATTACAAAATTAATTCTGCTGTACAATTTTTGATCAGCCACGGAACTACCTGAAAAAAAATCTAGAATAAAACTTTATTAAAATTTTAGGAAGAATCTGAATGACTTTGTAAAAGAAACAAATATTTCAAAGTTAAATTTGAACCACCAGAAACTAAATAGTTAAAGGGATTCTATATTTTGCATATTTAATTTAGATACTTGATTAGTTTGTGAAGAAGTACAAAAATTTTATTTTAAATGCAAATTTTGAATCTAATTTTTGTGAAAAGAAACAATTTATATGATACATTATCATGATTTTGTCAATTTTGCTTTAAATGTAAAGTAAGATTTGGCATTAACCATGCAATAAAAATTGTTATTTAGTCCTTACCCCCCATCAATCAAAATTAAACTTCCAGCTATTATTCAAAATTTTAGAAAAATAGAAGAATTTTTTATGAAGCAATTAATGAAAAGAAAAAAAAAGATATGTAGCAGTATAAGAACTACCAATGGTCGGTTCTAGCAAAATTGATTGAGGCATTGTCAAATTTTTAGAGCAGGCATAGTTAGCTTAATCAGCTCTAACTTTTTCACTTTTAAAACTGCTGGGCATATATGTATTAAGTGTTTAGTATTAGAAATTTGCATTTAGGTTGAATTGCAAATTTTTAAAATTCTTGTTAGCTCTTTTATTGAGGAAAGAAAAACCTTTCTTCAATTAAAACTTTTGTATGATGGTTATCTATTTGTATCACAAATTTATTTTTTAATGTGTTGACATTTCTAGATACATTTTTCCATTATTGAGATTATCCTATATGTGGTATGCAGCTTTAGGATGGTTTACATGTATGATAGTTGGGCTAAGTGCAAGCTTTATATTTGGTATGATGGTTTTCTTACTTATTCTTGATTTCAATTTTTAACTCTTTGAAATACAGGAAGTTTTTTTAAAAAAATAAAACCAGAATTATCAAAATTAGTTCAGTATGGTTCTAGTGGAACAATTTATTTAAATGAACTTTTACACTATTTTGTTTACTTTGTGTTTAGCTGAAAACCACAGCCCTTCAAATAGTTAATAGATTTTGTTGAATAGTAAATTAATGCTCATATAAAAATTATATGGTTATTTTAGTATTATTTTTGCTGAAACTGAAATTTAGAAAAAGTAACTTTAAATAGCTACATTAACATGGTTTTAGTGAGAAAATGTGTTTTTTTTTCTCCATTTGAATTTTTTCTTCTTTATAGATGGTAAGGTGTTTTTACTTTGAGTTAATCCTCATATTAACACTTTTTAAGATGCACATCTCAGTTAAGTATATTTAAAAAAAGTTACTCAGTTTTGTAGTATTTTTTCCGCGTTTAGCTATTTTTCGTACTAGTAAAAATAAAAAAATCATTTAAGCATTAATAAGAAAAATAAATAAATAAATAAAATAAACAAGCCTCCCCTTAGAAAGCATTGTGAAAGAAAATGATGTTTTTCTTTTATTGTATTTCCCATGCCTAAAGAAGGAGGCTAGTTTGTTTTCTTAATGACATAGCTGTATTTTTCTGTAGTTTTTTAAGACGTTTTCATAAATGTTCTATGTTTTAACACTATTTTTATTTCTTTAGTATCCTTAATCATTTTCTAAATCTTTGCTATATTTTTAATATGCTATAATTTCTCTTATTTGCCAAAAAAAAGTAACATTTATATTAGCATCATGCACATTGTTTGCTTTGGAGAACATTTATTACATACGTCAAGTAACTTTTAAAATCACACGTCAAATAACGAAAATTGTTTATGCGTTAAATTTGTTTTTGTGACATAAAAAATTCTTTGCTCTGTTTGAAGATTTAGAATTTCTTTAAATTCATTTAAAAATTTAGATCTTGTTTTTATTTGGTTAGAAACGTAAATACGAATGTACATACATATATATATGCATATGTATGTATACACACATATATGCATATGTATGTACACAATATAAATATTTAAATATTAAAATTTAAATATTTAAATAAAAACTTTTTATTTAAATATTTGAATGAAGGTTTTTTTTTTGACTTTAACTTCTATATCAATAGCTATCATTATTTACCCATTTTCTTTTTAATTTTCAGGAAAAGAAAAGGCTGTAGATCCTGTGTTATTAAGTCCTGTTGTATCATCTTGGTCATCAAAGAAAAGCCATGAAGCTGAAGTAAGTAGTATATTGTATTAAGCAATAAAGTTGTATCCATTTATAACTTAAAAGCCTGCAAATTATATTACATTTTAAGTTCTAAATATTTTAGTTATGTTTTGATTAAGCATTGCTTGTTTCTAACAAGTTAAACAAAAGTGCTTACATTTTATTATTTGTTTACACCTATAATACTTTATTTTTTTAGTAATAGTGAATTGCATTAGTTTAAACATTGTAAATATGACTAAATAGTTTTAAACATCTATGTTTGAATTTTATATAATTTGCATTATTGAATTCTTTTAATCGTATTACATGGGCTTATTCAGTGGAGTCTGATTTTCTTGTAATTAGTGAAAAGAATTGGAGATCAAAGATAAATCGGAAGTTGTCAGGGAGAAATCTTCAGAGGAAGGTATTGGCTCACATTGGGGTGTCTGGCCAACTATAATGATGATGATGAATTCTTTTAATCTTTATTTGTAGACAAAGAATATTTTTATGGGTAAATAGGGGACAAATAACCAATTTTTTTATTTGTTATTTAACTACACATTGCTGTTAAAAGATAAAACTGTTATAGTTATTAGCTTTAGTAGTTATTTTTCATTGTGAATTAGTGTATTTGTTGTTCAATTGGATAAATGTTTTTACAAGTATCAAAATTTCATTAGCTTAAACATGTTTAATTTTTTGATAACAGAATATGACCCATTCGAAATTATTAAAAATTTTAACAAATTTGAATAGGCATTTGAAGAATATGTAAAAATGTTTTTTTTTGCATAGTTAAATATCTCAGCAAATCCACTCTGGTTAAAGTTTTGGCATTCATGTTTTGGAAAAAAAATCATTTACGTTCCTTTGCAGGAATAGATTGTTTTACTTTAAAACCTTATATTGATATTTTTCAAATAAATAATAATGAATAGAAAAGAAACGATTAATTGATAAAAATTAGTTCAAAAATGTAAATTTAACCTTTATAAACCATTAGCATAACTGCTGAATCATATTTCTTTCTTTTTTTTTATTTTAAAAAAGCGATTGCCTTTACACATTAACTTTAAATAATTTATGGCTATAGCTCTAAGTCAATGACTCTATCTGATTCTCTTTACTTGCAACAAATTTCCATTTTTGTACCAAAATTCAGTCTATTCAGGGATTGTAACTTGCAGAGGAGTATGTTTTCATAAATTACAGTTGAAATAAAGTATTATTACGATTAAATTATACTCACTCTACAATTTTATTTAAATTTAGAGTTTTACTAATATCTGATTGTTCCTTTTTTGTAGGAATTTGATTTGACAGAATGTACTTGAGCTGCTTTGAAAAAAAGTGTAGAACCCATATTTTGTGTTCGTTAGATATTTTTCCAAATGTTTAATATTATATATTTTTGTATGTAAAAAAAAATTCTGATTATACATCAAAATAATGTCTTCCATTTTGGGTCTAGTTTGTAGGAGACCAGTGATATGATACATTATTGAAAATTTGATTCCAAGCTGTATCAATTTGTTTTAACTATGGAAGATTGATTTTAATAGAAGTATTTAAATAATAAAATGCCTTAAATGAATTTGAACTCATATGTATGCTAAAGACTATATTAGATTTTAAATTTGTTCAACCCTTTGCTGTTGTATTTTGTTAATACTCAATAGGTATTTTTAACTGAGAGCTTTTTTTTACGACTGTAAAGGGTTTAAAATGGCTGTAAAGTATTAAAATCATTAGGGCCTATTTATTAGTATTCGATAAATACATATCCGGATATGAGCAGGAAAACATTCAATTAGGTTATCATTGTTCTTAATTTGCTACCATGTAATCTGTGCTTAGCTTCAAAAAGATATTGAAAATTATTGTTTTTATTTTATAATAACAATAATTAAGTACTTAATTTAAGTACTTAAAAATGATATAGTGATATTTTGTCATAGATATCACCCAAAGTCTTACTGTGATTGATGCAACATGTGTATAAAAGCTTTTCTTACTTTATTTTTAATTCAGTATTTAAGTAGTAAAATTAGTTTAAGATTTGTTATTCTCAGAATCAATTTCTAAATTATGCGATTGAGACGCATAATTAATTTGTAAAATAATTGGTTGTATGAAATAAAGTTTCTCTATTATTTATTAAGAATGTAAGAATTTAGGACTATTTAGTTGACTTCATAAAAAAGTTTTAAGTATGATTTATTTGTCACAGATGTTTTTATGTTTTAAAATAAGTGTACAACTCTTGTCAATTGACCATAAATGACATGAATATTTATCGTATTTTTATCTTTTTATGTTTAAAATATTTTTCTCAGAAAATTATTTTTTACCCCATTAAGTGTCAAATGTATTTTCATTAATTTAGTACAAATTGTTTATCTTAGTTATTATTAGAATATTTTTGTGCTTCATGACTTAAAATAGATATTTTTACATTGTCATATAAACAAATTTAAAACACTTTTTTTTGTGAAAATAACTATAAAGTTATATTGTTGTGAAGAAAATTGTTTTCATCCATACTGTTTATGTTTCTTGGTATTTTAAAATATTTTAAGGGTTTTTAATTTAGTATTGTGCACAAATAATTTTTGCTTTAATGGAAATAAACATATATCAATTTTATTTGTTAAATTAAATTTTGAAATACTTGTTTGAATTTTGAAATATCAGTGCTTTCACAAAAGCATAATTTTTCCCCCTCAGAAAAATGTTTTTTTTTTTTAGTTGATTCAAAATCGTTGAGTATATGAAGGCAGAATTTTTTTTTGTAATTTGCTGCAGTTAATTCACCTGAGTTAGAGATAATATTTTTGTTATAAATTTTTGTAGTTTCAATTTGATAGTTTATTTTTGAAGTTTCAGGTTTCTACCATATTTCTTCAATTAATTGCTCTAATCAATAAATTAGGAAAACCTGTACACTTTAATATTTATTTATCCAAAGTTCATGAAAATATAAGTCACTTTTTTTCATTGTACTTAATAGCTTGAATAATATTTGGATGATTTATAATTTGGTAACACTCAAGTCTAAATTTATATAAAAAGGTTTGTTTGTTTCTGCTTTTTCAATGCATACAAAGTATTTTATAAAGGAATTATATCCATAATAACTATAATTAACTTATAGTTACTATGGATACTTATAGTTACCATTTCTATTTCAAATTTTTCTTTTATACCAAAATTACTTATTTGTATTCAATATGAAGAGATATAAACTTTTTTAAATATGACTTGATGAAATTTCCTGGAAAGGAAACTTTAAATATTTGTACAAAAGATGTTTAATCTCTTTTTTTATTGCAAATTTTTGTCATAGAATGAAACAGTGTATGTATTTAAGAAATTTAGAATTTTTGATGTGATCAAAGTATTAGAGTTTATATAGTGTTAAGTTTGAATAGATATGGCCATAGCTGCCAACTCTACTGTATTTCACCACTTTCTGCTGGTTTATTCAAATTTCTCCTGGTTTTTGTACATTAGAGAGCATGTTAGAGAATTCTCTAAAATTAAGTTTCCTAAAAAATCCCTATTGAAATAGAATTTAACAAAAAAAAAAGAAAAAAGAAAAGCTTTTCAAGTTTGTTTAATGTCAATCATAACTAGTAAATATTACTTAGCATTAATAAAGTTTTTGTATTTTGAAGACAATTAAAATCCCTACAATTCCCTATATGTAAAATATTTAGTATATTATTCAACAGTTAGCGTGAAATTTATATTGTTTCATAAAATCTACTGTTTTTTTTTTGTTTTTATATCCATATTGGCAGCTATGTATGGCTTATCCTTTAGCAATGCTGCTACTATTACTTACTAATGAAAAAAAATATTTATGTTTTAGATGAAAAGAAAACTTTTGAATATAATTGTAAATTATTTTTATTTTATTTTCCTGTGAAATAAGTGTGTAGTTGAAAAACTGAATTAGTTGGTTGCAGTCAGAATTTTCGGCAACGTTAGGTAAGGTAGATGTTAGGAATTAAAGATATAGACAAGGAAGTAGGGATCGTGTTTTGTGAGAAAATGTTAAATAATTTTTATATTTTATATTTATGTTTGTTGATCTGTTGTTTTTTGTGATATTTCTCATTGTATAATGTTTCCAAATTTATATTGTTATGTTAAATTGTTGTTTTATTTATTGTTTTATTATTAAGACTCTCACTAACTATGTGATAGGAATTTTGTTATTTCTTTCTGTTTTTCACTAAACATTAGATGAAGATAAATTATGAAAAAATAGATGTTAAAATTTGTAAATTGATCATTTTTTTTTACACTTCTATTTCCTCAGGTTCATGTTTTGTTTTTATTTCATATATTAACCACTGATTCGATTGTATTCATCTATTCTTTTTATTGAAGTATAAATTATTCTTACCTTTTAATTAAGTTCTGTAAGTAACCGTACAAAAACCGATAAATTTTTATTGTAAAACTATTCTGAATTCTAATTTTGAATGCATGTGAACTTTAGAGGTGAAAAGTGATAAGCCACATTTTTGTTGTTTAGATATTAACATATTTTTTTTTGTCACTGGTACTTAAAAGATGTGTGCTTCTTGTGAAAGAGTAATGTGTTGCCATCTCATGGTAGAGATCCGTTCAACCTTAACGGAATGTGTGATAGAGCTCTTGTGAGACAGTTATAAGTATTCATTGTGGGGAAGTGAGATTTCTATAAAATGGGGATTAGCACTTTGTAATCCTGAATTCATGCCTTTGCTTCATGAAAATTTAAAAATTTTCCATTTTATAACTAAATACATTTTACATCATACTTTGTATTTATAATCATGTATAATATGGCATCTTTTTTTATAGTTTAAGTTTCTTTACTTAAACGTAGTTTTAATGATCCCAAAGCATTCTAGTGATTTTTCTGGTTTTTTTTTCCTGTCAGATTTAGTTTATAGCACCATTTGATTTCTTAAAACATAACGTCCTTTAAATATGCTTTTTTTCTGTTTGTCTTCTTTCATTGAACCCTAAATTCAATTTCTATTACTAATATGTAAAGTCTATTTCTTTGTCACTAATGGAAGGTTATTGTAAAAGGATATATAGCCTTTAATAATAACCTTTAATAATATAGATACAAAGTAACCTTTAATAATATAGATATGTTCATGTAAAATATTTTTTTTGAATATAGTTATAGCTTTTATAAAGAAATTTATTTTCTTTGTGAACTCAAAATAAATTTAATTTGAAATCCTTTTATCTTTGAAACTTAATGACTTAAAATGGTAATTTTTATGTGTTAGGTATTATTTTATGTCTTTATTATACTTATCATTATACAAGTTATTTTATTATTGATAATAAATCAAATATTATTTTGTGTAGAAAAAGCATTTTAATTTAATTTTTTAAAATTTCTGGAATGGAGTAAGTATTAGAGTTGTAAATAAATTTCTTTTACATAAATGTATTATTCCTTTTTTAATTTAAAATATTTATTTGTATAAAGTATATTTTAAGCTGAAAAACTGTTTTTATTTTTAAATTCAGTAATTCATTTTTATTTTTTAAGATTTTTAATAATTATGATTATAAAAAAGTTTTCACAACAAAAACACTGCACTGGGTTCAGTAATTTCAACTTATTTGTTATAAAATGAAGAAAATGTTTAATAATCTTCATAATTAAAATTAATAATGTTTTCTGATGTTATTCTAATTTCTAATTAAATTATGATCTATAATATAAATCTAGTTCGAAGTGTTTTTTTTTTAGATGAACTAGTAAAACATGTGTCAAAGGGTACTGTAATATTTGAATTAAATTTATTTACGTAAATTAAAAATATGTATGTAAAAATCTTATTATTTTTTTGGTGTAAATTATATTGTATTATTATTATAGATACTGTATCCTGTGTTGTACTATATTGTGTTACAGTAGGGAACCGATTATCCGGAGCGATCGGGACCATCGCTATTCCGGATAACTGATTTTTCCGGTTTTCTGAATCGCTACAAAAAGCCGCTTTTTTTTTTATTGTTAAACCCAACTAAAAAAAAATATTTGGAAATAATCTTAAAAAGAAGAAAAAACAATGAAGTAATACAGTAATGATTATTTCTAAAATGATGGTATGGTAAACATCTTTCAAGGAAGAAAGAAAAATCCTAAAATCTTATGAGGAAAATTTTTTTTTTGAAAATTGCGGGAAAATGTACCGAATTTCGTTCCAGTTTTTTGGTCTTCCGGTTGTCTGATTTCCGGATAACGGGTTCTGTACTGTATTATGAAATTCATTTGCTATTTACATAAACTAATAAAATAACTAAATTAAAAAGTTCTTGGTTTTAGAAATATATTTTAGTATTGTAAAAAAAAAAACCTTTAGAAGCTATCGAAGTCTTTACAAACGATTTAAAATTGTATATATAAATTTCAAACTATTTTTTTTAAACTGAGTTTAAATTTTATTTAATGTAATTATCCCACGTATGAAAAGTTTAAAGAAAGCATGTTTAAAGAAATATATTTGAAATAGAAAAGTCTTTATTTTAAAATCATGTTTAAAATTAAAAAGAAAAATAATTATTTTGATTTTTTGATACTAAAATTTTTGATAATTGATTTTTTCAAAATCTCTCAGTATATTAATAATATTTTCTACCAAATAATATTTTTATTTCTTTTCTTATGAATGAATTCATAATAGTATGAATGAATTAATATCCATAGAATTGTAAATGAAACTATTTTAAAGCATTACTTTTAACTTGATAAATTGAAGTCTTTGTCAACTACTTCTGTATCCAAAAATTTTGATATTAGTTGTGAGCTAAGTTTGTGAAAATTTTGTAAGTTAGTGTGTCAAATTATATAGAGCGTTTGCTAAGCTATTATAAGTTTGTTAAGCTATTAATTTGTCAAGCTATTATACTAAAAGTAAATGTACAGATAAATTTTTGATATTTATCCATATATTAAGAGTGTAATGAAACTAATAAACCTTTTAATGATTGCATGAAGTGCATTAGAGGAATAATAATAAATTTCTTGCCGTCTATTTAATGATTATTGGCGGAAACAAATTTTTTATTTTGGTTACTAAGGTTACTTATTAGAATTACTTATTTGAAGTCAGAACCTCTAATGCTGTTACCATCATTGATAGTTCTATACTACATGATACAAAACGGAAACAGGATGGAGCCTCCTAACTGTTTCAGTTTGTATGTATGCCTCATCAGTTTGAATGTTGCGATCTCCGAAGCAAGGAAATTTCATCCGGTTCTATTACATAACAAGTTCTGTTTTGTGTATGTTTTAAAAAGGGAGAACTTTTTGTTTATATACAAAGCAAAGATGAGGCCTTTGTGAGGAAAATATTTATGTTTTGACTTTAAGTTAGGTTAATTTGGCTACATCACAGAATGAAAATTTCATTAGTTGTTCACTGTGTATATGGCAGGTATTGTCTGCTATTTAAATATCAGTTTTTTAATTGTTTTTAAAATTTCAATCTATATACTTCTAGTAATGAAATAGCTTTCGTAGATTTTTTTTGTTCATTTCATATTTTGATAATAGTTTGAAAATGTCACAACACTTAAGTATTATTAATAAGACTAAAATATAAACATATTTTTTTTGCTTTGTCGAAGTAGCTATGGAATATGTTTAACATTGCTTTTTATGTTAAAAATGTAATTTTCTAGTTTATGTTTTGATATTTGTATTAACCCTTTGACTGTTATGATTGCATATGTGCAAGCCATTGGTGAAACTGGTGTGAACTATGGGCACAAATGTTTGGCAAGGGCTGTTTAACGGCTGCCTCAAGTATATTTTTGGAATTAACTTCTTTCGTTTATGTCTAACATAGTAGAAATCTCATACCTAGTTGCCTAGCAACGATAATAAATGAATTTTTGTTTAATAAGCTATTCATATTCATTCAATATTCATAGATAAGCTATTCAATATTTTTACATTACCGAATCACGGTGTTTTAAAAAAACTTAACCTTTGGTGAATGACAATACAAAATGTTTGGTTCAGATTTAGATTGTATAAAATAGCAATAGTATTTAAATTGGATTGTATGTTATAACGTATCATATGACGTTGACAAAAACAATATTGCTCGAAAAAATATTCAGTTCCCAGCAATCGCTTCAACATAGAGCAGTTAGCAGTCAGAGGGTTAAAAATGTCATGAGAATCATAATTATTATTTTTTGTTGTAGTTTGTAATTTAATAAATGAACATTTTTAAGCATTTCAATAAATATATTTTTTTCTTACTCAACACATTTTTTTTAAATGTTGCAATAGTTACATGCTTATTGCAGTAAATGTTAATATTCTATATATTTTGCCGTTAGAATATAAACTTATTTGCACCTGAAATGTTTTTGCGTTTTTATGTGCTTTAGTAAATAAATATTTTTAAGCAATGAATAAAGATATGAACTTCTTCTTAGTCAGCATTACAGGTAGCCCAGGCCTTGGCTTTCTGAATTAGCTCTCCTCTAAAGAGAGCAGTTCGGAACACTTAAACTTGATCGAAAATTCAATTTGTGTGTTAATACTGAATCAGTTACAAGGATTTCATTTTCTTAAAAATAATGTTCTGGCTGGTATTTCTATAAAAGATGAGACTCAATTTTTTTGCTATAATTTGTAGTTTAATAAATAGAAATTTTCAAGTATAATAAATATAAACCTATTTTTTTTCTTCAATTTTTGTTTTGGTTAGTCTTTTTTTAAAATTGTGTTTGTTTTATTTAATTTTTGTTTTTTCAAATAAATAAGTAAATTAATAAAAATTTAATGTAAAATAAAAGCATAAATAAATAAATTGAAGTTTGTTTACTCATACCTCGTTCTTTTTCCCTTAAAAGAATAAAGACACTTCATAGTTCAGAACAAAAAATATTTAATTTCAGATTTCGTTGTTTAAATACTTGATAACTGTAATCGGCAATTCAACCTATTTACATGAAACTTACGTTGTGAAGTTTTAATAATAGTTGTAAGACAAATAAAGCATAAAACATTTTCATTAGTTCAATGAAATTCTTTTCCATTTGAAATTTTCTAATGATCAACGAAGATTTTAGCAATAGTTACATTTCTTACATTTTTTGAAAAAAGCCTTAACTCGAAGTAAGAAAAGTTTGCTTTACGAAGTAAGAAAAGTTATAAACTTCTTAAATTTTTTGATTTCTATTTTTTGAAATTTTTTTCGTATCATATTTAAACATTTCTTCTTCTTTTATTCCTTTAAAAAAAAGTTCTTTTATTTTACTAATTTCTTTACCGTAAGTCTAAATGTTGTTCACATTTGTTCACATTCATGTTGTTCACATTTGATGTAAACATTATAATATGGAATTGGATCGAGGTTTAAGGTTCTATCCTTCACCCAGCTTCAGATCAATAAGTACCAGTTTGTCTGGGAAGTAAAAACGACTTTGTGTGCAATGCTGATCTTATTTCTAGAATCATGCCGTTGGTTTTGAAATTGCGAAGCCAGGGGCCTTTAATCTGTATGAGCCTTGCTCACAACAAGCCGTTGCGAGAATGCATTTATTTTTAGTTAGTGTTTTACTAACTGTGACAAAATAAATGTGACGAGATAGAACATTTTAATTAGCATAAATTAGGAAAGGGTTTTTCCCTTTTGAAGTTGAAGCTTCAATGTATAGGCAGCAAAAAAAAAAAAAAAGTTGCATTGATTACTTGTAGATTTTCGTCTTATCTATCTTTTTAATTTAAAAGGCCGCGCCTGCAGTATTTCAAACAACAAATTATAGAATTTTTCCTATAAATATTTTTTGCCATTATTATTCCAAAAACTAATTAAAAACTAGTTGTTCCCGAATCTTCATTCTTACCCCCTGGGCCACGACAGATTGTTGCGGAAATGCTTTTTTTAAATATGGTACACATGAAAGTTGAACTATATTTTTAAATTGGTAAATTTATAGATTAATATGTATAGATAAATGTTTAGGTTGTAGCAACTTATCACTGGTTGAAGGCACCGAAGTTTCTTTATTGATTTTTTTAGATGCATTATCGGTAAAAATATTGCAAAAATTGTTTATTTCTATACTAGAATGTCTAACAGCGTTCAAACCACTCAAATGTCATCATCCAGTCGCACTTTCATCTGGACAGCCATCGTTTGTCGATGCTGTGTCGTCGGAGCAATTTTCTACAAATATACAGTTATCCTGCGTCACGTAATCTTCGTCGTCAATTTCTTCATTCAATTCCATGGAAGTTGCGACGGAGGATGTGAGAAAGGCACCTGCTGCATCCAGAGCAAGTTGTACCATGTCGGCTGATCTGTCTTCCACATTATCATTCCACTCGGATGGAAGTGTAAAAATGCCCAGGGCAGACAAGTCTTCTAATTTGATTTGAGAGGTTTCTGTACCGCTGGCTACGTCCGGCAGACCTACGATTAATAATAGTATTTTCATGTGGCTCATTGTTAAACTAACATTAAAGTATACGGGGTGTTCCGTAATAACCACCCTTAATATACGCTTTAAGAATTCCTTGTCAAATATGAAGTTAAGAAACTACACACATAAAGGATCGCAGATTAATATTTCCGCGAGGAAGAATAAAACGTTCCCTTCTAAAATGAAGTAAAGAAAGAATATACGTATGGGATCACAAATTGATGTTTTAGCGAAGAGAAAACAAAAGCTTTATCGAAACAGCATAATGAATTACTACTGAGAAGTTAAAATTCTCAAAACCAGTTCGTTTGCTGAATAAAGCTGTTAGGAGATGAAAGAGAATTATTAGAAACTCTTCAGTTCAGCCTAATCTTAAACGGCTTAATCTCGTCTTCCCCAGTAATGCACCGTTAGATTTCGATAAGGTTTTCATTTTCTCTCCTTTAAAACATCAATTGGTGATCTGTATTCTTTCTCAACTTCATTTTTGAAAGGTTTCTAAATCTGTACATTAAAGGTTTTCATTACGGAACACCCTGTATTAACTTAGACTCAATAAAAATGTTGTGTACATGATAAAATAATTTTATTCCTTGTAATTTTGCTACTCGTTTTTTGTTAATAATTTAAGGTAGTGAAAAAAAATTAAGAATTAAACTCAGTATTTGCCAAGATCGAGTTTGATCCTTCACTTTTTGACTGACTCGGGTTAAAGAAAGGTTAATCTGTGTTTTAGTCAGAATGAGTTAGAACCATGCTTCAATTGAAAAACCATCGTTAATCAGGATTGCGTCTAAGTGTCATGAAGCATTCTGATTTATCAATGTTACCTAGTTTGATCACTTTAAATGTATTTATTATTATTTAAGAAAAATACGAAACACCTGAAATTTCATTGAGATTATTTTATCTAAATATAATAATCCAATAAATCTCTATAGAACTTAATAAAAATGTTGTAAAGTATTTATAAATAAACTATTAGAGATTTACCACTTACACAAATGTACAAAAATGTCTTTTACTTACCCGAACATTGCTCACTAAATTCGTTTTGATAATCAGCCCCATTATCTTGTTCAATGGTGTAGACGTTTAGGATATCATCAGCAATGTCTGTTTTACAGCGTGTCAATTTTTCTTGCTTTCGCCATTTCGCGCGACGATTTTGAAACCAAACCTAAAATAAATATTTTAAATTTTATCGAATAAAATAAATAACGGATAAGGTTTTTCTTATTTAATAATTTATAAAATAAGTTATCCTTAAGTATTATTTGAACGTACCAGGCTTACTTTTAATTGAAAAAAAAATATTAGAACTACTTGCTCAATTTCGAAAACGTTAATACGAAATTTTGGTATAATCGTAAGGAAACAGATAAAGTGGCATAGCGATCACAAAATTTAACGTACAAATTTGCAGGGATTTTGCCTATATGATATTGGGAAACCTTTCGGAATACTTTAAGTCAGTGGCTCCTAATTTTCATCGGCTATGGAACCCTAAATGGCAGACTTTCTTTCGTTGGAACCTATACTTTATAAATAAATTATATAAAAACAATTGTGAACGTATTAACCAAATTTTGAAAATAATTAACTAGAGGAATGATTGGGTCTGCTATTCAACGCCTGTTATAAAAAATAAATAAAATAAAAAAATTAGAGGAATGACATTTTTCATCGTTTTTTCACGAATTATCTTAAATTAGGTCTTTGCTTCTTAGTTCAATAGTTCAATTCGCACTTCTAGAGCTGTATTTAGTCTAGTGTTGAATTTATTTTGGATGTATATATATATATGTAAGTTGAGAATGAAATATACATATATAAGTTAAAAATATAGAGAAATCGTGGAAAATAATTGAAAATAAAGTTTAATGAAAAGAGAAGAAAAAAATATCTGTAAAATTCATTTCAAAAAGAAAAAAAAATATTAAAAAGTGCCAAAATAAAATAATAAAAAGATATAATCTCTTCATCAACTCGCACGATTATATCCGCGAAAAGGAGTGCTTTCTAATATTGTATCAACATAGCCGAAGCAAAATATATCAATACAATAGTGTGAGGAGCACTGAAAAAAAAATTGAAACGAATATAGAACATATTAAGTAAAGAATATATACGAGATAAAACATATCAAGTAAAAAACAGAACATACAAAATAAAACACAAAACGAAATCTGTAAGGCGAGTAACGGATTCAAATGAACTTACACGTACCGGAATCTTTCAAGAATCATTTAAAATATTTTCATAATAAGATTGCCAGATTACGAAATATGAAAACAGAAGCGCGAATAGAGTTAGAAGCTTCAATTGAGGGGTCTTTTATGTCGCATTCTTACTGCAGTACTGAAGAGCGTTTGATTTGTTAGTTACCTTGGACTGATTTTAACTTATCTCATGAGTCCTATATACTTGCAGCTTAGGCGGAGTAAATAAAACTTATGGATCATAATTTGGATTATAAATGGATTATAATTTTGCATAAAGTCAATATTTCAATATTACTTGAACTCGTGCTTCTGTCAATCCAATCTGAGAAGCCAGTTCCTCCCTTGAAAAGACATCTGGATAGTGACTAACATGAAAAGATCGTTCTAATTCTTCTAACTGAGATGATGTGAATGTTGTTCTATACCTTCTTTGTTTTCTTCGACATCTTCCAACACCAATGCTATAAATCAAATAATGGAACGCGTTAATCAAAATAATATAATAACTATTTAACATATTGTTTAATTGCTATTGTTTCAAGTGGTTTTGTAATGTCTTCGGTTTCTAACAGATTCAATTCTACATAAATAGATGGCGGTACTGTATTTTTCCGCCACAATGCTTGAAACGTTTTTGCAATGCTTATTCTATATTTCAAAAACAGTTTTTGGTAATATTTGAATTTTTTTAAAAATCTCAATGTCATAAATATCATATCTTTTATATTTTTTTGGGAAATCATTCGTTATTTTTTGAGGTGAACTTATTTATACAGTAATATTAACGAGAAGATGTTCTATATAGATAGTTTCTAAAGTTTATAGACTTTTATAATTATTTATACAGTTCTATAAAATAACAAAAAAAAAATATTCATTCAAAAAATATTCAATGCAAATATTTTACCTGATAAAATCAGTAGCGTTGCTTACGCCAACAGAATCAGTATTCTCTAACTTTTGGGGCTGATCATCATCTTTGCTAGAATTCTGGCAGGTGTAATCTTAAAATTAAAAAAATAATACATAAACTTAAAATTTAAAAAAATATATCAGATAACTGACAGATCTGTTTACATTTTAAAAATAAATTCAATAATTTTCTGATTTTTCCCGAAATTGAATAATCTTGTTTCATTTCTAGAGAAACTTGAAAGACATTTATCATAATAGTTGATAATACAAATAAAAGGATGCAAATCTATGCGTGTGACAAACGTACTATAACTATACCGAGTTTTTTTACAAAAAATTATTAATACTATTCGTTTTTTAAAAGTGAAGGTTCTTAAACCGCAACATATCCGGGATTTGGGTATGTGGTACGACCAAAATAAGAAGTGCAGAGTTTCCTTTAAAAACTTTAAATTTTTAACCAACCAGCAGGGAAATGAAGTCAAATTTCAACTATCTAGTAGCACATCATGGTATTTTATACAACAAGTTTAACAGTTAATATGAACCACTTAATCTATAATATGAATAACCAACTGCGAAATTGTTTAATTCCATCTTACTCCCCATACATTTTTCTACATACCTATGTAATTTCATGTTTCTAAGTCTTACAGTTTTTGCGGAATAGAACAAAATGTAACGTCAAGTCGAGCACCCGAAGCAACGGCAATGACTCTTACGAACTTTTAATATAAACAGATACGTATATTTTTACTATATTTTAATAAAGAATCATTTAAAAAATTATTTTATAATGACAATAAATGCAGTAACTAAGTTGTGTAGACTTAGTTACTGCTTCATAAGAATAAATTATTTGATATAAAACTCTGCATAAACAATTCTTACACTTCAATAAAAGGATCTTCCCAAGACAAGTTTAACTTAATTAAGCCATAACTAAAAAGGAGTAAATAACTGAAAGAATATTTATAATAAATACTTTTTTCCCCTCATCGGTTTTTTTAAGTTAAAACCGTAGTTTCCGATTACATTTGCTTTCCCTAAGGCTAGTGAGGATTGCAGCCTGTCAAGTGTTCTAAAGCATTAGAGCGCAATCTTAATTTGCTTTAGCTTCCCTCCCCCCCGAAAAGGGCATCCTAAATTGAGTTAAAAGACCTTTTGATCCAATAACATCCAATTTTCAGGGAACAACTGTAGTTCGATCAATGTTCACTTTAATCTCTAACTATAAGCAGATAATACGTTTCTAATTTGTTCCGAAGTTTCTTAATTGTTATTAAAAAGTTTATTACTCAATTGAAACGCCGAAACTTATTTTCTTCGTTGATATGTACGCAATGCATTAAAAGTAAGTGTTACTTTTATTAACTTTTGTTGGTTAATTGAGAAAAAAAAAGAAAAAAAATTGTTTGGAACTTGATGAAACATTCTTAAATTCCACCCTCGTTATCATTCAACACTTGGTTTTTATATTACCTTTTTATGCAGTTATTTTAAAAATTTATTGTTTTAAGGTATATGTTAATATAATTTCTTTTTATTGAATGTACTCCGTGAAAATCTCATATCTAATGATAATTTTTTTGTATTTTTCAAATATTTTTTATATGATTATGGTGAGTTTACTCTTCAAAATTATTATTATTTTATTTTTACCATATCGAATTCCTTTTACCAAATTACCAAATATATAACCAGATGTGAGTTTGAGATTAATGTTTTGATCATTAATTATTAAATCATTTATAATATTATCCTCTTTGACGTAAATGAACTCCCTTTTATGCATTTTTTTCCTGACTTTCCGATTACAAGAAAAATATATTTTGTAATTTTTTTAATTATAAGAGACAGTCAAATAGTTAATAAACATATCTGTTAGATAATCGGAATTATATTGGTACTAAAATATAAAACCCTAAAAAAGTAGTTTGAAATTTTTTTTCCATTCATATTCCAAAATTTATCCATAATTGTTTTTGTAAATTGTAGAAATTTTAGTTATGAATAACTGTTTTTCTAAGATCTAAACATCTGCAAATATGTAAATTTGAAATATTGTTTGGAAGATTTTACCTTGAATGCAGAAAAAAATACCGGCGTTTTATGCTGTATTTCATAACCATAAAATATTAAATGCTAAATAGAATATTTTTCATCAATTTTGCTCTAAATAAATACAAAATAATGAAAAAAGTATGAAAAATATGTTTAATAAAAATTCTGCGTTAAAGGGTCATTATCTTACTTAATAATTTATAGAAACTCGTGTAGTTTGAATTCCATTAACTTTAATTGAAATGTACAGAACTGATCAAATAATTTTCCAAATTTGATATTTTCCTCTAATTTCAAGTTTATGGCATTAACAGGGAGATAATACTTTTTGAAGTCATGATTTTTTTAAAGGGTTCATGTGCTTGTTTAGGGAATGTCTGATGATTCATAACAGAGCTTGGAATGTTTGCGCAGGAATTCTATAACATAATTTTGTTGATAATAAAATTTCGACAAAAATTTCACTTGTATCAGAAAAGGAATGAATAATATTTGATAATAATAAATCTGTTCAGTAAGTAAATAACAATTGAGGACTTTCCCTGCACTAACTATTTTGATAAATATGAGATGTAGACTGATAGAATGATAAACTAAAATGTACTGCACCATCGAACAAAGTGATATGGATTCTGGTTTTTGCCATATCTTTTAAATATTAAGTAAAACCAGTTTGTTACATTAATTTGTCCAGTAGTGTGATTATAACTACATAAAAATATGATATATTTTGTAATTTTATTTGTTTTATAATGTTTATATATAAGCTAAAAAATATTATTATCACTAATTTTAATAAAATAAAGCATTCCCGAAATAGCTTGTTATTTCCAAGGAGGAAATCAATGCTCCACAATTTCGTGACTATTGTCATGACTGCGGCAATGTGGTCAGCATTACGCACTGGCCGCATTTACTTCTCAGACAAGTTGGTACCCATCTTTCTGAAGTTGGGTGGGCTTCATAATGCCTTGTGATCATGTTTGCGATTGGCTTCAAAAGAAGTTCCTTTTCAAAAAATTTCATCCAAAAATGTCTGATAACGTAAGTTGATGTCTTATATCAACTTATATCAACTTTAACCTTGACTCTTATATCAACTTCCCAACTATTATCAGGATAAGCAATGTAAGCGATTATATTTTAGATTAAGGATTGGTATGAAGCGATGCATGAACCTTGATGTAAAATAAATTGATTAGTTGATTTTTTTTAGTTTTGGTTCGGTAAACAAAATATTTTTCTAGCAATCAACTTAAAATTTTATATTCCTAAGCATAAAATACTTTTGTATGCATTTTTTTGAAAACCCATATCATTAGATAATTAAAACATTTTTCAGTACTTACCAAATATAGATGGTTCATCCTCACAACTAATACCAGTCTCTAACAGCAACGGATCATATCATCACAAAAATAATATTAAAAATTTATATTCTTAAAAAATTTTTTTTATACTTTTTGCATGTATTTTATTTCGAATCATTGGAATAATTCAAACTTCCTTTACAGAACTTACCAAAGAAAGGCGATTCGTCCTCGCAACTAAAATCAGTCTCTAACAGCAGGGGATCGTCAAATAAATTCTCTAATTCTGGCGCGGGACTTGTTTCAGAACTCAAAGATTCCTCACAAGGAATTATTCTCGAAGCACCTTCTTCACTCATGATTTTACTCCTGTGTAAAAATCTCCAATAAAATATGAAAAAAAATTTTTGGAAACCCACTGGGAAATTGCCTCTACCTAGGTATGTCGAGAACTTGAGAGGTTTCAGTGAGAGTTCGAAATCTCTATCTGCAGAAGGATATTCTCTAAAACCGGGATATATTTTTTCTTCTTGGCGTTAATATTTTCGCTTAGTAAGCACCCTTTGTAGATGATTGTTCATTTGTGCAAGAGCTAAAACTGTTTTGATAAATTATTTATTTGGCACTTTACATAATATAATACAAGAAAAAGAAACATAAGAACGGTTCTTTTCTTAAAGTTTACAGACATTATTTTAAATTCACTGCCAGTAAGATTAAAATAATTACTTAGTTATGTCTTTTTTCCTGTTTTTGAAAAGTAAAATAATTAAAAAACAAATTTGCCGTTTTAGGAATTTTATTGTCTTTAGTTATACTATATAAAGGATAAAACATCATAAACAAAATTTTTTTTACGAAGTTCTAAAATATATGGTCCAATCGCGATGTAAAATTTTATTTGGAAATTTTTTGTACTATGCACAAAAAATTGACAAAAATCCTAGTATGGGAAAATCCATTCGCTTGGTCAAAAGTTATTTAGTGGTTTCTTTTATTTTTTGCTCATCTTTTATATCCTTTCTGTTTACAATAACATAAAGCATTCACTAATATAACGCTTTATTATTCCTTCATCCACAATATTAATAAATTATAAATGCTTAAAAATTTTTAGATTGTAAGAAGTTTGTGTTTATGTGCTGAAAAAAAAATCAAAAATATTCTGAATTACATTAAATAAAATCTTCGTTATCATTGCATCAAAATGTCATTAGTTTTATTTCCATATTTTGTTTTCCTAATATATATATATATATATATATATATATATATATAAA